AGGGCCTTGGTCCCATAACAAGCAGGAAGAAGCCAGTTCTAATATAATTTAAGTAGTAATTAAAACTTAGCGAAACTAGTCTAGCAATTCTAAAGCATCTGACAAGGGTCTTAGATAGGGGCTTTCGTATGAGTGCAGTACAGTATAAAATGGATAAGTTGCAACTATTAGGGTGTCATAAAGCGGCTGACTTATTAGAATTGATTTTGTATTATTGCCCTAAGCTTTTCTCTTATCTCGATTACCGAGTGTCATTATATTTTGAGATAGACCAAGGGAAAGGACGATACGAGGGAAAGGTCGAATTCCTCTGATTTGAATGAATGGACTTTTGTTTGAGTTAGAACTTTGTGCTTGACGCGATCCTGCTATGGATCTAGACATCTGCGAGATCAAAGTTAATTAGACGCCAGGGTTCAACATGCAGGCATGTTTCACGTGCAGCGCGTCTATTAGGGAATGATGGCGGTTGGATCGCACACCAACCGTCAGCATTCTTGCGCTTTGCCCCACGCTTGAAACTCACAAACTGTTTCCGTTCCGACATGTGCTTGTTCCTCGGGACTGTAAACAAAGGATTTATCTCGCCCAGCATCCTTCTTGATTGGCGCCTTCCGCACGATGAAAGAAATTTTTACAACCACGGACGCTGCCATATAACCTCAGAATGCATATATTCAGGATAGGCCTCATCGTATCTAGAACCGGGCAAATGCGTCAACCCCTTCTCTACTCATTTACAATCTAATCTCTGATATATTTTCACTCGCTTTCCATCCTTCTACTTTCTGGTGTCTCGGGACCGGACCAAGTGCCATCTTTCCTTTTGCCGTTTTTGACTCACCATGAATTAACAATAGAACAAAGAAAGCAAGATTTTCACGACAAAAAAGCGCCATTAGCCCTTTCCAAAATGCTTCTAGCTCTGACGCTTGCACTAGTGCCAATCGCTCAGGCCGCGAATCGTGGAGTATTTGCGCATTACATGGCAAGTATATCATTCTCCGCAGCCAGCAGTGAGTAAGCCCTAATTCACCTAATCAGGTCGGCACCACCACAAAGGACCATATCCAGCAAGATGTCGACGACGCGATCGCGATGGGTCTCGATGGCTTCGCCTTGAATGTTCAATGTCCGACCGATGCGTTCGCCAAGGACCTAATCCTGGAGATGGGGCGCTACATCGAGGCGCAGGAGCTCCAATTCGGGATCTTTATCAGTATGGATGTGTACGCCTCGGGAGGGGCATCGTGCAGCAGCGCAGGCGCTGCCGACTACGTTTCCCTGTGTCAAGAGGCGATGGCACTCGAGGCGTACTACCAGGTTGACGGCAAGTATGTGGTCAGCACCTTCACCTCAGGTGGGGGCACGTGGGAGACGTGGAATCATTTCAAGGCCTCATTGTCCGACCTGGGGTTCGAGGTGTATTGGATCCCGGATCTCGACGACACGGAGGGCTACTGGGACAGTCAAGCGGGCTGGTGGGATGCATGGGGCAATCTCACTGATGGCCTCTTCAGTTGGGAATCTGCCTGGCCAAGTCTGGGACAACTGGCTTCGAAGCAGACTGGTGGGCTGGGAGGGATTGCCCGGGATCAAGTGGTCATTGACGCGGCTGCTAGACAGGGTGCATCCTATATGATACGTTTGTCTTCCTGTGTATCTTTCTGGTCTGAGCTTTTCACTGATGACTGTCAACAGCATTGAGTTTGATGCAGTATAAGAATTCAGTATGAGCAGCTTTCACAATGCTACCAATTAAAACTTCGAGACTGACTAGGACTGAGCAGTATGGAATAAATATCTATCGCCAAGGTGGAGAGAACCTCATGCAACGCCTGAGCAACATCTTGAACATCCAGAGTAACACGTTGCAGTTCGTTGAATACATTACTTGGGTAAGAGTCATCTGTACCAGAATTGGATGATAAAATATAATGCAGAGCTAATTCAAATAGAACGATGGTCCCGAGGGACACTATCTTGGAAATCTGTGGCCGGAACAGAATGGCGAAGCTGCGCTGAACAACTACGCCAACATGACGATCTGGCCTCATACAGGCCTGCAGCCGCTCATCCACTCGTTTGCGACCGCTTTCAGGGCGTTTCGGGGCCCATCGGAAATGAGACCTCAGAATGGGAATGAGGCAGCCGGCGCCATCTGGTACCAGACGCCGGCCTTCGATATACCGTGCCCTTTTGAGGACATCGGGGAGCCTACTGCCACCTTCTGGAGCAAACCTGCAGGGTACGAGACATTTTCCAACACGACCCAGTGGGCGGTTGTTCTCAATGAGACGGTCGGAGGCTATAACCCCAGCGAACTGGCGCTCTTCATCACCACTGGTGATGGTGTTCGGGTGGTGGCCAGCAACTTGACTGCCGGCCTGAATTTCGCTCAGGGCCCGGATGTGCATGGCGGGAGTGATGTTACCATGGTGTTAGCTCCTATTTCAGGTGGCGACTTCCTTTACCATGCCTCAGGAGGTAAATGCCCTGATTCATATTGTAGGGATGGATTCTACAACCTGAACTATCAGGTCTTGCCACTGGTACCGGGGCACACGACAACCGGTTGTACCTATGAGACCTCTGCTCTGCGATACATCCCTTGGAACAGCGCAAATTCGACGGTTGGTTGTCAGCAGTTGCTGTTGAATGCATCAGCCACGGACTCCTGGTATCTTAGTCAAGCTGGGCTGGCCTTGGAATTCGAGACGACTCGTCATTCTTTGTCAACTCGCCGTGCTCTGACAAGCACACTCCCGAGCCTCGATGCCCACTTCAACGCTTTCGATGGGGTCAATGTCACGAATTGTGCGAATCTTAGCGATAACAGCTCCTGCTCCATACCTGAAACCTGCCCCTTGAGTACTGACCATGTGCCATATTTCTTTGCTCAGCGCTCTTTCGCGATTTTCCAGCGGTGCCTGCGGGGCATGGCTTCAGAGGTGTTTGGAGAAAATCTCATATCCGCTTTGGAAATTGACAATCTGGTCAACAGTATAACTCGGTATCTGACACTGCATAATGACGAGGCCGGTTTGGACAGGGCCATAGGTGCCGTAGCTGCGGGACTTACTGTCGTCAGAAGCGGGCTCGGTCCTATCGACGAGTTTGCCAGTTCTTTCGCGACATTACTCGGCGGAATTTTCAGCATGGCTTCTGTTCTTCGGACTCTCACCGATCCCACAAATAGCAGTGTTTTTCTGTCCGAACCTAGCACTGCGTTGAAGACTCGTCTTTTGGCCGGAGTTCAGAGATATAATACTAGCCTCTTCCAGTTCGCCCATGCCGTCTTCGTTACCGGCAATCTCTTCTCCTTCCCAGGCTATGCACTTGACACATCCAATGATCGGTTCGAAGCCTACTACACTACCCGGTTACCAAAAGTCTTTGCTGGGGGCCGCTTCGCCGACCCCAACATGGCCTGCAGTAATCTCGCCGACGAGCTCATCCTGCCTATCCAGCAGGTCTTGCTCGGTCTTCTACTCGCCAGCGCCAATGTGTACATCGTTCAGAATGGTCACCCTGTCGAGGAGTGCGCTTCAATGTGGGGCGGAGTGGTGCTGGACCTGGACTCTGACGATCCCGTGTGCTACACGCTTGAAATTCCCGGATCCGGGGCAAGCAACACGGACATCTCCATCCCGCTCAGCGGCAACGTCTCGGACCTGATATATAGCACTTATAAGATCAACCAGACTGCTCTGGTCAGGAGCTCCCTGCAGTGCCAGTCAACAAACAACCGCTATCATGCAGCTTACATCCCTCTCCCGACAGTCATTCCGGGATCCGGATACTCGACCTCCTCCCTCCCGTCGTGTTTCTTCAACCTGCCCGTCCTATACACCAACTATACTGCAAGTATGAATAGTTCAAGCGAGGGGATATCGGGCACTCCCTGCCAGGTGCGGGGCGGTACCCCAATAGACGGGGTGGGTCACTATCTTCCCTCGAATCTGGCTGCCGTGTTCACCGGCGAATTCTGTACCTGTGCGTCCACGGCATCAGAGTCATTATCTTGATTAGCAGTGACCCAATGCTGGCAACATAAGCGCGCATAGCCAGAACTGAATCCGGCTCCGAGGGATGCAAGAAAGCTGTGTGTCTGATGGCATATGACTCGCAGAAGGCTGTATCAGCTCAGGGTCAACTTTTATAATGATGGTCATGTTGCCGAGGGGAGAAGAACGGAAAAAGCGGGGAAGGGGCGGAGGGCGAGGCTTAGGGGCGAGAGAACTGCTACGCTCGCTTACCCCTTCACCTACTTCGAGGCGACAAGCATTGAGCATTCTCTCGCCGTCGTCGCAATTGCCAGACGTAGGTCAAGACTCCGCTCTTGGCTTCTATGGTGTGTTCCTCAATATTGTAGCTTTCTCGAACCTTGGAGGGCACTGAGCTTTCCGACTCGGTGAATGGTCTGCGTTGGCAGACTTTCGCTCTTTCGCCTTTTGTCCGGTTCATTTAATGGAAAGCTGACAACATAAGATTCTTGAATCGCTCTAATGTGCATCATGGTCCCTGTTAAATGGGGCTTGGCGAACATTTCGAAAGCGTTCACTTCAGATTGATCACCGCAGTGACCCAGTTGACAATGACTTGTACGTTGGATGGCGGAGTGGTTGTGGACAGGTGATCCAGATGTGAAAGAGATGGCAACTAGGAAGAATATGAGAATATAAGGCTGGGAAGAGAGTTGTGGTTCCAGGAAGATAAACAGGAGGTCGACAAAATAGTAGGTAGCAGGAGATGAAGAAGTGAAAAGCCGACTGACAGAGAACACAAGAGATCGGTGCCTGAGTTTGGACCACTTTGGCATGACTAGAACTCAAGTGAATGACAGCGACCAAGCTCCTGTCTCCTAACAGGTTTCACACATTAACTTCTTTGTTATTTCCTTTACACCTCATCACCTTCTTTCACCTTTCACTCTCTGGTTTCCCACGCTCCCCTTACTTCCTCCTAATCTGACCAACTATACCTCGATATCCGTCAAGATGGCCTTCAAACGTAAAGTGTCTATTGACCACATGGACACAGTCAACGACCTCGTCTACAAGAAAGCTAAGATGGGAGAGTACACCGACTTCGCCCTGGAGTGTGACGGTGTCGAAATCCCTGTCCATAAAGTGATCGTCTGTTCTCAGATAAAGGCATTCGCAGCTGCTTGCGCCGGAGGCTTCAAGGTCTTATTTCAATCGCCCAATTAAACCGATATACAGAGAAAGCTAACTCTAACAAGGAGGGCTGTTCCGGCGTCTATCGAATTGACGAGTTCCCACTATCCTCGATCCGCCATCTGGTACAGTTTCTCTACACCGGAGACTATGGCCTTCCAAACGACGCCGGTATGTTCTCACAAGGTTAACTTTGACTTCCTTGCTGAGAATCAGGCTAATTGCAAATGTTTGTGTGGCAGACAAGTCTCCCTCGGACCCGGACCTCGTGCTGCCTCCCTCTCTTTCCCTCTCCCCCTCCTCCTCTTCCTCTTCCTCCTCCTCCTCCGCCGCCGCTACTACTGCTGCTATTACTACCGCTGCCGTCACCGAGGATCTCTCGAAGAACCTTGTTGCACATATCCATATGGCCGAGATCGCGGATTACTTCAACGTGCCGGGACTCAAAGAACTCGTTCACAAGAAGGTTGACGAGACGCTGCAACTGCCGTGGTCCCCGGAGGGCTTCGCTGATGCGGTGACGATGGCTTTCAACATTGGCGATAATGGCGTACTGCGCGACAGGCTTGCAGCGACCGTCGCCGACCATCTCGACGATTTTCTAGGGACTGACAGTCGCATGGATCTCTTCACGCACGATGCGTCCTTCCAAGTCCTGCGACGCTTGAACGAACAACTTAAAGAGTCGGAGAGACGGACAAAGGGATTGCAGAGACAACCCAAGAGGTCGCTTGAGCTACAACGCTTGAACGAAAAACTAAAAGAGTCGGAGAGACGGACAAAGGAATTGCAGAGACAACCCAAGAAGTCGCCTGAGCTACAACGCTTGAACGAAAAACTAAAAGAGTCGGAGAGACGGACAAAGGAATTGCAGAGACAACCCAAGAAGTCGCCTGAGCTACAACGCTTGAACGAAAAACTAAAAGAGTCGGAGAGACGGACAAAGGAATTGCAGAGACAACCCAAGAAATCGCTTGAGTTACAAACACGCCTCGCACAGCAATTGGGAAGCGAGCGTGAGTTAAGCAATGGTATCATTCTGTCGTGACCCATTACCAATCCGGTTTTAATGTCGAAATCACCAGCACTTGCCTGAAGTGTCGGGCTGTTACAACCAAAAACTACCATCCTGGCGGCTTCAACATCGCGTGTAATTGCCGTGCCGCATTGAATCAATGATCGATGGTCCCAGTATCCTCAGGTAGGGATGACGGTCTGGAAGATGAGGTTGCTATTCTATAATTGTAGACACGTTGCTTGATAACAGGTGGCGAGCTTACAGGGCTGTATTTGAATGGTAAAGGGGTTTCGCACATTCATAAATTGCTGGTGTATTTTGGGGAAGGATATCTGGATTATAGTGGGCAGCCGAACACAACCAAATGAAACAGCATTTTTGCTGCGTGCAATCTTGGATATTATGATTTCCGATGTCGTTAAAGACGGATTTGTACATCAGTGAAGTGGAGGTTTTTCTTTACTGATTCATAAAGCTACTGGCGCATCCTCCAGCAACTGGTAAGTTATCTGGGCGTAAGAATCTCTGCGGCAGATCTGATCGCCCTTCTCTAAAGTTAGTAGATCACGCCAGAGCGCGCAGACCCACCACCCGCCTCAGCATCTGACCACAGATCTTCTCCAGCTAACGGTAATAGCAACCAAAAAGACAAAAATGATGGAGCTGCGGGGAATCGAACCCCGGACCTCTCCCATGCTAAGGGAATATTATACCACTAAACCACAGCCCCAATAGATGGTTGAGGATAGGAAATTTGGCCTAGTAAGCGAGACTAAAACCAAGAACAGATAAAGATAATGGGATCTATTTGGAGAGGCCGGGGGCAGAACTGAGCCACATTGGAAGGAATGGTGTGCGAATTGATCTTGTGATAGTGTTTTCTCATTGTTCTTGCAATGGGTGGATCTCTGCTCGAGTGACTGGAGTCGGCAAATATTTTGAAATATTTATAATCATAGTGTGGTGTACTGTTCGAACTCAAAAGGTGAATTGACTCAGCGAGATTATATGTGGTGCTAAATATCCATTTTTTGATGACTTTGTACTCTGTCTTTTCCTGCCTATTTTTTCAAGCCGCCTTTTTTTTTTTTTTTTTTTTTTTTTTTTTTTTTTTTCAGACTGCTAGACGAAATAAGAAAGTATCGATAGACGTACTAATATCGTGGTCCACGGACGTGCGCAGCCGCCGACAATGTAATTCGTGATATGTCGGCAGAAATACTACAGGACAGTATCTACACAGCCAGGAACTCGACTCACCTATTTGTCCACCTGCATGGCTTCGTCCTCGATGCTATCGACCACGTCGAGGTCCATGAGCTCTACCTGCTCCGCTAGTGACGCAACGGAGCCATCAGCGGCCTCACCTTCAGCCACCGCGGAGGACGGCTCGGGCTCGGTCTTGTCGCCCCGCCGCGGATCCCCAAAGTGAACGACCTTCTTATGCTGGACCAGCAACTTGGCCGAGACGAAGCCCCGCCCCGGCTCGCAGAGATCACACAGGTAGTCCAGGATCTCCACGTGCGCCGAGGAATGGTGCCGATAGAAGTCTTCAAAGGTATCGAAGGGACCCTGCCCGCAGATGCCGCCCGTGACCCGGTCCTTCCACTTACAGAGGTACTGGCGCGTGGCCGCTCGAAAGTTAAAGGTATACATGCCGTCGGTGAAGGGGAGGCCGCGCCGCGGGGAGCCGCCGGGGCCCGGGCGCCGCGCGGCCTCCTCGGCCTGCTGCTCCAGCATGGCGAGCGTCGCCCACGGGCGGCCGCAGTGCGGGCATCCGTACGCCAGCGGCTCGCCCCGGTTCGCCGCCCGCACCCGCAGCACGTCGATGCACGTGTGGTGGTACGTGTGCCGGCACGCCCAGCATTCACACAGCGCTCCTTGGTGCTCGCTTCGCCCCGTCTGGCACAGATCGCAGGTGCCGGCGTCGCCGCGCACGTCCTCCAGCAGCACTTGGTGCTTCTTCAGCTCTTCGTACTTGGCGTACGCGTGCTTGCGGAGGTCGGTGTGCCATGTGGGAGCCATCGTTGCTAGTGTTTGCCAGTGGTTGGTCGAGGTAAAGGTCACTTGTGAGTTGGTAGTTCGTGTGGGGTTGGGTTTGGATTGGATGGGGTGAGGTGGATTTATGTCCTGCGCTTATATACTTGGTACATAGTATTGATGTCGCCAGTGCTCAGGTGAAGCCTTTCATACAATGCCACTTGTTACAGAGGATCGCCTCGGATGTTGTGGAACAGAAAGAGTATGAGCGACAGGATTAGCCCTAACTTAGGGAGAAGTACCTTTTATTCCTGATCCCGCAGTCATCCACCAGTAAAGCAAACAAAGCGAAAAGGAGACTGCGTCAAATTTCTCAACCTCGAACTCTAGCAGACGCGACTCTCCGCTTCCTTTCTCCAAGATACACGGAGTTAGGGCTGGAGCGGGAGGAAATTCTCCTACATTTCACCTAGAGAAGCCTACCCCACTCATTGGAATGCCCATACACACGACGAAAGAGCCGCCTACGTCGACGAATACAGCTCCCCCTCCCACTGCGGCCACGACACCTCTGCCCCGCCCAGCCCCATGTCGAAAAGCTCCAGCCCGATGAACCCGGGATACTCCAGCGCCGGAACGTCATCCGAGAACAACCTGTCGTCGAGAAGCGGTTGCGCCAAGTCGGCGTCCTCCTTCTCCTCTCCTCCCCCTCTCCTGGCGGTGATTGACGCCAGCACTCGCGAATGCGGTCGCAATTTGGCGAACCGCGCAAACACAATATCGCCCAGCATATATGCGGCGTGGCATGTTGGAAGCCCAATCGACCGCAGCCAGTCGACGAGCTGCACCACCAGACCATCCAGCGCGTTCAGATCGTGGCCCGTGGCGCGCAGGTTCGCCTCGTAGGTGTGCACGAGGCGACAGAGGGTGAGCGCCGCGAATGTGACGAGGTGGTAGATCTGGTCCGTCAGATGGCGGGTCCGGTCGTCCGTGGTGTCGATCGCGAGGTCGATGATGTTCTTCGCGTGGGACAGCATTCCGGCGACGAGGGATGCGCTGCTGCTGCTGCTGCTGGCCATGTTGTCTAATGACTCTTGAGATGAGGATTTCAGGCGGTTGCTGTAGGCGAGGAGATGCGCGAAGTGAAAGCCCATGCGCAGAAACTGGGAGCGAGGTTGCGCTGAAAGCATGGTCAGGAGCCGCAGGTGCGAGTAAACAAGGGGAAGGACAGCAGATACCAAACAGTACGAGGAACTCTTGCTGCCAATTCGCTAGAGCGCGTTTCACGGCTTCGAGATCCGGATGCGATCCGCAACACTTGCGGTAGATGATCCAGTACAGCTTGACCTCGGCGATCATTCGCGCTTCGTAGTTGGTGATGCTGTCCATTTGCATCAATCGTGCGCAGCGCTCGATGTCGACGTCGGTCAGTTGAGCCTGGCGGCGGGTGCCTACGCAGTATCTGAGAGATAGGTCAGTAAGGTAGAATTGTGAAAGCGACAAGGGGAAGGACGTGCTGTAAGTGAGCCAGGCATAGGTGATTCCAAAGACACCATGCATCGACATGTTTCTGTACGGTCGGAAGAGCTGCGTCGGGTCGCATGACTTCCACAAAGTCCGGGCTGATCAATGCCTGCTGCAAAGCATAGCCGGTCAAAAGCCAGCTGTCAACACTCAGCGGCACTTGGCCGATGGTCGTCGACCACAGGCTCAGAATCAGAACCGCCTGGAAGAATGGCGTCGTCTGGGGGACCATGAGTAAGGAGGAGGTGACAAGGCGTTTTGCTTCTCGGAACAACTGAGGCGCGAGTCTGTCCGCAAGGTCTGGTGTGGTGTGTCTGACTGCAATTAACAATACACTGCATGTAAGAAGCGACGACCGTCTGATTCGCGAGAGAAGGGCCGGTGTTGAGAGATCCTCTGGAAACTTCACCCATCTGCCGTAGTGGGTATGGAATCTGGGGGCTTAGTGTAAGCTAGCGGTGCCAGTTGAGGTATGATTGGGGACGCACACTCACAGTTCGACCAATGAGTGGGCGATAGACGATGAAACTAGCCCTGAAGATATCGGGTCGGCATACACTTCAGGACGAGCGTCGTTCTGCTCCGGTGAGCGTACGCCAGCGTCTAAGGCAGCCTCCCTAATGAGGAGCACAGGAGCTGGTTCATGCTCAATGATACCTTGTTCTGTCCTCCTCGGAGGGGTTTCCTCGTTGAACCGGCTAGCTAGGGCATCGATCTTGGCATCCAGACGGTCAACCAAACTCTCTACCGTTCTTTCCAGTCTGGCGATTCTGTGCTTATGGCTGTTAGCTCAGGACTATTCTCAATATCAGAAAAACAACATCTGCAGGAAGAGATAGCACCGCTCATCAACCGCACTCCGCTGATTAACCTCGGAAGCGACGGTGCTTGTGTTCTGAGTATGTTCCGACCGGCAATGAGTTGACGGGCTCGACCTGCAATTAGGGCTCGTCGGCTCGGGATCCAGCGAGCAAGGCTGCGCTAGCGTCGCGCAGCGAAGACAGCCGCTGCCGGGACCTTGCGATGGATAGCATCGTGTTTTGTTCTTGCGGCACGACGTACACGCCTTCGAGGCCCTAGCTGACCGTACAGGAGGCATGGTTCGGCCAAGTTTGAAGACAGTGCGGTCGTCGGGGGCATAAGGTAGCTTACACTGGAAAAGCTGATGGAGTGCTTATCTTATCGGGGAGTGGGCCAATGGCGAACTTTAGCGTAGAATGGGGTGATATCAGGTCCACGAATGTGGTTTAGCGGCATTGATAAGGTACGCGAAGTTACCTTGCAACTGTATCCGTACCTTGGCAGTTGTAGCATATCTTGTGCACTTCACTATGGCTACGAGGGGTTAACCAGCACAAAGAGCCGCAAGTGAGTCTAGCCAGCTAGCTCTACAAAATAATGTAAATCACTACATAGATCAAGTGCCAAGCCATGACTAATTGTCTAGTATTCCAACAACTGATTGCCGGGTAACTACATCCCCCAGTTGTCCGCTCTGTATCACTTTTCTCATGGTTGATCCTCCTTTCGACTTGCATCGTAAAACCCCGCCTGCTCTCTTTCAGCTAAATGATCTTCCTGATCGAACACGCGGTAGAGCACTTTCCAAACCAAAATGATGACGGCGGCTCCAATGGCACAAGAGGCGGCAATGATAAGCCCACGGGTATACCGCGGTGCATCTTTTGGTTTTGTTAGCCTTGAGCAACCATAAAAGAGCCACAAACGAGTAACTACAACATACCTTGTGTTCGAAACAACTGATTGCCTGGCAGATTCGCCAGCTGAATACTCATGACATACGCCGCCAGCGCCACTGGCCGCTTCCGCTCCGGCATCTTCGTCGTCAGCCAGGCGGCGCTGATCGCTTGGGCGCAGCCCATCCCCATTTGGGTCCACACGACTCCCCCTGGTGCTTACTATCAATGTCTATCATAGATGAAAAAATTAAAACTAGGAAGGGAAAAAGAAGAAAGTATATCAACAAGAAACAGGAGCACCGAGTGGGAAACACACATACCATAGAGCAACCATTTCCCACTCGAATCCGGCGCCAACGCCAACCACAACAACCCCGCCGCACCCCAGAGGTATCCGACGGCAATGTGGACCCCACGCTCCTGCGACCGGTCGCTGCTAAGTGCCAATGCAACAGACAAGAGTAATGCGCCGGCGCTGCCGACAGAGTTGAGGCCGTTGGCTTGCAGACTGGTAAAGCCGAGACTCTTAATGATAGAGGGCGCGTAGGTGTTCATTGGTGAGATCATCAACATCGACAAGAAAGCGGCGGCCAGGTGTCCGTAGAGGCGCCAGTCGGTGAAGGTGCTGCACACGTCAGAGAGTGTGATAGACTGCCGCTGATGACGCCCTTGTGATCGGTGTGCCTTGGTGCGGTCGCCGTTGAGCACCCGGGTTATCAGGATAGAGGCCTCGCGGGGGGTGAAGATGTTATATGATCGGCGGAAGAAGGTCTTGGGGCGGATGGGGCTGTGTGGGAGGTACAGATACGCCACAATACCGAGAAAGCAGGTAAGGAGGCCCTCTGCTTGTTTGTCAGTTGGATTGTGTGGGAAGTCGATCTCGAACGAAGAACTCACCGATCAAGAAAAGCCACTGCCATCCCTGAAGCCCGTGTCGACCGCCTAATGAGAGAAGTCCGATGGACAGAGGGCCACCAAGAATGCCAGCAAAGCTATTTGAGGCCCAGAATATCGCGTATCGCAGCGCAAGCTCCTGGTGGGTATAGTACTGGGAGATGTAGAGGGCGAACCCGGGGATATACCCGCCTTCGAGGGCTCCGATGAAGAATCGGGCGGCGATCAGCCCCGACGCACTCTTGATGAAGATCTGGGACCATGTGGCGACGCCCCAGACGAACATGTTAATAGGCAAGAATCTTTCGGGGCCTATGTATCGACTGATTACGTTGAAAGGCAACCCGGTAATGATGAAGCCCACGGTGAACAGGGTCTGGGCCATATTGATCGCCGAGTTGCTCACATGAATATCAGCCCGCAGCGTATCTGTCAAAGCATTTCCGATGTTTGTGCGGTCGAACTGCAAAAAGCAGAAGCAGACCACGATGAAAGGTAGAATGCACAAGTCGACCTTCATCTTGGCCTTGCGGGTCTCACCAGCTGTGGGTTGGAGGTCCGGGTCATACCCCGGGATGTTGATAAGGTCATCGATGTGTCCGTCTGGCTCAGGCACTACCGACATTGACTTGGTTGAAGCAGTCATATTGGCGTTGTATATCAGGTGGGAGATAGCAAGGCTTCCCAACATGCTTCGGATGAAATCCCTCCATTTTTATCCTTTACTGGTTGTCCAGCACTGATTCGATACCTGCACCGGATAGGTTGGTAGATGAGGTGATAAAGCCATGTTCTGATATCAGAATAAGTGTCACTGTAGCAGAAGTGCGACGGGATCCGATGCCGGCGGGATGCCGCCGGCAAGCCGCCGGCCCGCGGCATCTCGTTTGCACAGGCACATAACAGAGTCAACCCCTGCCACTTTCATTTAAGACGTCGAATTTTATTTTTTTTCGGCCTTGGCTGGTGTATACCACTGCTTTTATCAAGATACTTCCACAGCCTCATCCTTTCTTTCCCTGCAATGGAGCAAAACACCCTGAAGAGACGAGGCGTTGGTCTCATTGGAGTCGACAAGCAACGATCCTTCGGAGGTTACACACTCTTCTGCCCTCTCACCAGCGACCGAGCACACCTCATCGACATCGATGGCAAAGAAGTACACACCTGGAAGCTCCCTGGTCGAATCGGCCGACACGCGCGAATCCTCGCCAACGGCAACCTGGCCGTTAACACGCTTCGCCCCTTCCCAAACCAGACCACACACGAGGGCGGGTCATTCCCCTTCCCCTTCTTCAACAAGTACGGCGGGGGCATCATGAGCGAGCTCGACCCCGAGGGCACCATCGTGCGCCAATCCACCGACCCCCTCGCCCACCACGACCAATATCACTACGGCGACGGGCGTCTGCTCTACACGAGCCTGGAACTGCTGTCCGCCACGCAAGCGGCACAGGTGCTCGGCGGCGTTCCCGGCAGCGAGATTGACGGCCGCACGTATGCGGACACAATCAACGAAGTCAACGCGACGGGCCAGCTCGTGTGGCAATGGAAGGTCTCGGAGCACCTGCTGCCCCGCGCGGCGGAGTTCCCCCTGCAACCGCACTACACCCGCGAGCACTACCCGCTCATCAACTCCGTCCTGCCCCTGCGCGACGGGCGGCACATTCTGGCCTCGCTACGCTCCGTGTCCGCGGTGATCATCATCGACAAGGCCACCGGCGCCATCGTCTGGCACCTGGGCTCCGAGACCCTGGCGCAGCAGCACAACGCCACCGAGCTGGACAACGGCAACATCCTCATCTTCGACAACGGGGCCTTCCGCACCGGCGAGTCGATCACCTACTCCCGCGCCATCGAGGTCGACCGTGCCACGAAGCAGATCGTCTGGGAGTACCGCGATCGCTCGCAGCCCATCGCCTTCTTCACGCCGTTCATGGGCAGTGCCCAGCGGTTGGGGAACGGGAACACGCTGCTGTGCGAGAGTGCCTTTGGGCGGGTATTTGAGGTCACGCGCGAGGGCGAGATCTGCTGGGAGTATGTTAACCCCCACTTCGCGCCGTATCCCGATGAGGTGACGGCGCGGTTGTTTCCGGGGGAGTCTAATGCCTTGTTCCGGGCGTATCGGTACGGCTTGGAGGAGATTCCGTGGTGGTTGAGGGCGAAGCTTGAGGGAAGCTTAGATAGCGGCGACTGGAAAGGGGAACCATAAACAGCGAACCGGAGCCTTGTTTTATACCATTGCCATCTGTTTGCCTAGGCGATTTAATGATAGCCAAAAAAGAAAAAAAGAAAGGGAAGTATAACATCAATTCATACCAACCCCAAACAGAAATGTCATTGATCAATGAATGATAGTCATGCCTTTACCCTGATCACAAACGGCGTTTGTTTCGCCGTTGGCTGTGCTTACAGGGCCTCCTCCATCTATAATCCAGAAGGCATGCGGTCGCTCTGGTTTCTGGAACAAAAAGTTTATTTCTAAGGAAGCCTATAAGAAAACGATGTGTGGAAGAAAGGAGAGGAGCCTTTCTGCGTCACTATATACTCAACACTCGAACAACATGCACATTGGGCGCCAATAGATGGGATGATTAGGGTTGAGCACCACACGGTCTTTATCCGCAGTGGCACTATTGGTGCTTCCTCTCTTCCAACAGTTCTGTACAATCCTGTCCAGTAACCATAATGCACGTTCAACTTCAGAAGAGCCGGTTGGGTGTGTACCTAGATATGACTGGTGAATGATCGACAGGCAGGCCTATATACAGTATATTCTCAACGCGGAAGATCCGATCTTGTTCAACATTCCGTGGCACTCTACTTGTCAATCCACAGCCACATCTAACAGTCACTCAGGACCACATCATCAAACAGGATATGCGCGGGGACCTCCTTCCCAGCGTCAATGCAGGAGCCGACGAAGTGCAGGGTCAAATCCCGCGCCGGGGGCTGGATGGATCCAGTCAGTTGGATCCACTCGCCGGCGTGCCAGATCAAGTCGGAGGTGATCGCACCCGCCTCGGGGTCCTCGCCGAGATAAGCGCTCACTTCGCAGTGACCCGTGCTGGGGATGGGATCGGCCACGCGGACCCAAAGGGTTAGGTCGTGCTCGTTCTCGTCATCGAGCCAGTACAGGTCCTGTGCGACGGAGACTTGGGGTACCTTGGCTGTGCCAGTGACATCGCTGGGGGTTATGAAGTGTTAGAATTGAATAGAACGAACTTCAGGGGTGGGAGAGAGGGATTGTTACAGGTAGTAGTTTCCGGCGTGCGCGATAGTGCCCTGCACGATGTTGGCGACGTTACCGGTGGAGGCGTACCATCCATCGAGAGCGCCGGTCTCAAAACTCGGGTTGTTGATGACGTTGCAAGGCATTGTGTCTGCGTTGAGATTGTTTGAGAGGTTTGCTGGGTACTTGTTCTGCTGTTGAGGCTTGAGTTGATGGTAGTTAGATTAGGGGGGAGGGGGAGCAGGGCTTTATATAAGATGCAAGATACACCGACGCCTAAGTTATGTTATATAATATGCTAAAGCATCATGACCTCTGGCAAAAGATGTACTGCACAGGATTGGCGTTGGTTGGTCAAGTCTCATGTCTAACGTCTAAGCCCCCAAAAGATCTCCATCTTGTTGCTCGGATGTTCGCCAATGATCTACCCATGTTGGTTTCTGCATCAGCACTAAGCTACTGTGTAGAGATCACCTAGGACGAAGGAGTTTACGTCGTTTCCGAAAGTGGTAAGAATCGAGTTTTCTAGCAGATGAAAGATGGTTGCCTGACGAGCGGAGCCAACTCACTCGCCAAGAAGATAAGATGGACCCGACTCCACCATCTCCACAATTCTCCGGAGACCCTTCCCCAGTGGGTCTAGATTGCCAGGCATCAATCAAAAACCACGATGGTAACTCGATCCTTCGGCAATGACTATCCGTCGAGATGGGTTCTCTGTTGCTCGATATATGACAGTGTAGTAAGTTACTGCAAGGCAGCACCTTTTTCACCTGTGACCCGTAACGTTGAGGGTTATATCCGCATGTCGATTCTTGTTCAGTTGTTGAACGGATCTGCCACTCGTTCCTCCTACTTGGTAATCAGTCGATTAGAGACTTGGGAAGATGCTGACATGGTTTAGAGTTTGTATGTGAGGTACTGTAGAATGAATAGCAGAAACCTTGGCATTGACCATACAGGACAAGCCAGAATTCGGTGAAGCCACGACGAGAGCCCCTACCCCGTAAGAAGAACACAAATCCAGGCGCATAAAGTGAACTATTGCTGTAGTATCCAGCCATGTCTCGAAGGCCCTTTGTGAATTATCTCATACTCGTATTTGGTGCCCTGGTATCAGCATTCACTTGCTGGTGCAGATTCGATCGGTTGACCCCTTTGGCAAAGGTTTTTCAGTGAATACAATCCCCTCCAACTATATTACAGATACAGGATTCATGAGTACCTCCTGTGTTGTGGGTGCTTGTAGATGGTTCGGATTACCTCATAATCGAGCTCGGTGAGAATTGGTTGGGTGTGTCGGCCCGGTGCACAAGACGCAAACTTGACCGTAACCTGAAAAATATATAGATTACCCCACCGCCCCTTCGAAACCACAAGCACAGAAAAAAAAGACGGTATTTCCAAGCCTTCATTTAACTAGTCTTACTAGTAGTTGAACTACGAGACACATAATTTAATCCAAGGAAGTCATGTCATACTGCCGATGCACTTTTAAACCAGCGAGTGGTGTTAAAGGTCAAGTGATATTGCTAAAGCAAATGACGTATATATTACGCTGCGCAAAGCTTACTTCAACAAAGAGGCTCCTATGGCTCAGTTGGTAGAGCGCATGACTAGTAATCATGAGGTCCGCGGTTCGAATCCGCGTGGGAGCACATGTTTCATTTTTTATGTCTTCTTCTCTGTTCCTGTGAACCAATCAAAATGCACCTCACATCAAACTTGTATATTTCTTCTCTTCATGATTTCTTTTTGACTGATACTTGGGCCCAAATGACATCAGACGAAGGCGTGCAAGATGTGCATTTGCTGCAGTTCGTGTTGTATGTGCTCGCCAAGGTCGTTGAGCCAGCCCTGTCGCGTCGGATCCCACATATCGCATGTCACTTGCAAACGTGTCAAACAAACCCGATTACCGATTTGTTCCAGGCAGCCAGCAGTTTCTGCCTGGAATGTTGTGGACGCATAGAGTCAAAGTATGAATCATGTATAAATCTATCCGCCTATTCTTCCCCTTTTATGTCGTTTTTGTCCCTTTTTACATATGAGCCCCCTCGTCAGCGAAACCAAAATAAAATCATACCGCGCTCAAGCAGCAAGAATGGGAGAGTGGGATATCTACTGTGCGATTTGCGGGGCTCCTTTTTCCAGCCGGGTGGATATCGACCCGAAAGGAACCGAGCAAAATCACTACCGCTACGAGATCCTCAAACACTCCAGCTTGAAATGGCTCGATGAAGTCCGTGCCCTGGGGATCAATGCGGACTCACCCGCAACCGATAGGTGCGCTCCCATTGCCTTCCCCTCACCACCACCAAAACGACATGTATTCTTACCGATGCTAGATCATATCTAACTGGTCTCGGTTGTTACTCTGGCATGGTAAGTCTACAATACCCATTCGAGAATCAATCCATTACCGGCTAACCTTCCAGATCAGGGGTGTATAGATGTTGCCATCGGAAATGGTAGCCCCCCCGCCGCCCCCGCCCCCCTCGCCCCCTGGCGACCAAGCTGGCTCCAGCTAATTCATGCTCTCCTCAGACCCCAACCTTGTCATGGAGCGCCCCGATCTGGAGCCTCAAGAGGAGATAAACCTAGTTGCGTAGGGTTACCGCGTTGACTTACCCAGGCCTGCTCTAAAACCCACCAATAGATACCAGGATTATAACGACGAGGAGGCACCGCATGACTTCCCTTTCCATTTCATCTGCTACGAGGATATCCTTCTGCGATGCGTTTGGAAAGTGTCCCGGCAGCTCCAACGCCAAGTGCTCTTCAATGCGTTCGAAGCTCTGCATGATTGGGGCTACGTCAGGCTGAATGTGGACTACGGAGCGCCAAATCCGCCAGAAGGACAATACTGGGAACCCAACAAGGGCGAAGAGGTAAGTTGGAGTCACAGCCAGCCCTGTGTAGGATCGTGCGTCAGAGACTATCGGCTAAGGTTTGTGGAGGTCCTGGTGGTGAATCCGGTCAAGATACCCGAGTTGGATGCTCACATCGGCCGGATCACAAAGTATCGCGGAATGAGTAAGAAGACGGCGGCGAAGGCAGGCCCTCAGCAACATGAAGTCTTCAGTCGATTGCCAATTGAGCTTCGCCATGAGATCTTCAGAGCCCTGCCAGCTGGTTCGATCCTTTCTCTGAAGGCTGCTTCTGCAGCGATGCATGCGACCCCCTTGCCTGCCAGAGTCTGGAGGCGGAAGTTAGAATGCGAGGTGCCGTGGCTGTGGGAACTTGCGGACTGTGACGTTTTCCAATCTCAGGAGGTGGAATCTCGGGCTTCAGAGCTGTTGCTCAACATTGATCGTAGAAGTCGATACACGGCTGAGAATGACGACTATGACTTTGGGTTGGCTAACCGACGGAGGATCTGGGGTGTTTGCGAGCAGATCCGAAGTATATACTTGGAATTGCTCGAAGGTGTGTCCGTGCTGGAAGGGTGATGATGTTGTTGGGGTGGCTTGGCTGAGACAAGGCCCTCAATTCCTCGCTTGGATCCTATGTTTTCTTGGATTGAGCGCATATCCCATTGTTTAGGAGGACTCTAATCTGTTTCAATCGAGGCTGGGAGACGCAGTGGGTGCCCGGGACCCACATGGCGTACAAAAGGGCCCTTAATCCCCGGACCCAAACTCTCAACTGCGTACATCCTTCGGAAAGTGCAGCACGTCTCACTATGGTATCCAGATCATATAAACAGCCTCTCCTGGAGCATGAGCGTGCCGGAAGCTTGTTCGATTCATAGTTACTGGAGAAAACCTCGCCGTTCACTACCGGGATAATTGGTTCATACTGGAACGTGACTATCACTGGAAGAGTAGCATATTCCTCCTCTCGACCGACGAGACCCGAATGTTCTACAATGAAAAATGCATCGGAGAGCTAAAAGGTCATCCCGATCACCAAGACGATGTTTTCCGACACCACCACACCCCGAGGATCCTGAGCAAGTCTATATCTCTGCCGACGGAATACATTTCTACCAGCCCGATACCGGCTTCGTTCTTTATGCCATCAACAGCGGCTCCCGCAATCCCGGGGACACGCACAACTTCAGAGGCAAGCTGGCCTTCCGCGGCTGGTCATACAACTATAGCGCTCGATTCCAGCTGTCTCTCTGCCAGGGCAAGACCCGGATCCGCTCCAAAGAGGCGGCATACCTTGTGGCGGTGATGGGTCTGGCGGATTGCCTGGAGGAAGAATGCCTCGACCATGCCATGCGGAGTGCGTGTGAGACGTGCGAGTAGTATCGGCTAGAGTTCGGGCTGATGATGACGGGGCGTTGATGCTCGTCCCGCTGAGTCTGCCAAGTATGTTTGTCGTGGGGGATGGGGATTGGTACTACGGGATCGATTACCTGAAGGCAAGCTTTTTCGCTGACGGAGTGAGTCAGGACGATTGAGGAGGCGACCGTCTTTCAGTCTGTGGGGTGTGAGGTCTATGATGGGCTATAAAGTGGGTGTTCTCGGCGACTTAATGGTGTAGATCCAAGTGAAGGCTAGTACTTCTCCTACCTGGTCCCCGGCCGGGTGAAACAGTCATATGTACACCAACTGTTACCGCGTCTTGTGATGATTGCCAACAAAACAGAAAGCCATTGAATCGTTTCCCGACCGAAATGCCTCCCTCATTCTACCTTCTTCTCATCAGCCACCGCAGGAGCGGCAATCGGGCCCCCAAGCACCATCCTCAGCGACTTCCAAGCCAGCCGCAAGATATAGAGCCCCAAGGTCGCCAGGTTGACCCACACCAGAAGAACCCAGTAGAGCAGCGCGCGCGGGGGGATCGCCTTGATGATCTGCGTGGGGTCGACCCCGGTCTTGTCCTGGAAATCGGCCATCCCCGCCATCGCCGTGGACTCCAGTTCGCTGACGCCGGTCCCGTTCTTCGCGACGAGGGCATCGTTGTGGATGGCCGTGAAAAAGAAGCCGCCAACGAGCGTTACAATGAACATGCCGAAGCACTTGAAGAGCAATTCGTAGAGCCAGGAGAGGGTGAACAGGAGCAGGATGAGCGCGTTGCGCGGCGAGTGGCGGTGCGCGCTGGTGATGGTTTGCGCGACCGTGGGGGATCCAGCTCCGGCACCATCAGACGGCTGCGATGCGATGAACAGACGGCAGACGAGAAAGGTGAGCAGGCTGGTAGGGACGATCAGGCTGATCAGGCTTTGGTCGGAGTTGAGCGCGTCCAGGGCCGTGAAGGATAAAGCGGTTAAGGTCCACGAGGTCAGGAATAGCACCACGATGGCCTTGGAGATGATTGGAAGAGTGGCCATTTGTGATGGGTGTTGAGATTTCAGGGTGTCGCAGTGGAAGCGACTGGAGATATTATGGAGTGTCTTTCTTTTTCTCTTCTTGTAAAAGGGGTGCGATGTGGCCTTTTATTTTGGTGGGATCGGGTGGTGGCGGGACGCTAAGGGTCCACACAAAGGATGCCTGGAAGACCCTTGCTTGGAGCCTAGACTAGATTGACCTTCAAGTTAGTGCTGTGGACCTAGTGACTTGTTACTACTACTGGCTAAGTTACTAGGTAACTTTCCCTTTCCGCTTTAGACCTGATTTGGTGCCGCCTTTTGCTCCTCCAGGTACTTGCCCGCACTTATTTAATTTGGCATACACGAGCTATATAAAATCACAAAGGAATATATACATACATCACTCTAGTCTAATTAGCATACTTGTGTTTTCAGAAGTCCTTGAACGAGTACAAGAGGCTGAAGAAGAGGTTGCAGAGGAGATGACTTTAAAATTTTCATTTTCAAGGACAACAGGTCAATTGCGTGGGACTGAATTTGACCTACGGCGGATGAGTTACATATATGGCTCACTATTATCATAATCCTGGCAGACTGTCAAGGTACTCGTAGCTCATTTCAGAGCAGCATGTACTATAGTGTGATGGGCGTAATGAATACTCCCTTTCCCAACTCCGGTCGTTTAGTCAACGAAGATGCCTTTTCTTCACCTGCCTCAGGGTCCGGCTCTATCCCGCTCAATGTTGGGACTATCCCGGCCAACACATCGTCATTTGTCGGAGGTGAAAATAATCTGCGCCCTTCAAACATCCACGCAAGTGTCATCGCTAATGCCAAGCAGCCCATCACCAGAGCCGTGTAGTTCATATTGGAAGTGGTCACTGGATGGGACTGAGGGAGCTACACCCATTGTCAATAAATCGGGGCTACTATACAAGGACGTGGTTCTCTGGGATAGTAACGGGTATGAGACTTACGACAGAAACAACGACAACCAGGATCGAGTATAGCGCCGAAATGAGATAGATCGGGGTGGACCAGGCCCCAAAATTCCATCGATCACATTCGGGCAACAGTTGGCCTCTGGTGATAAGAAGAATAAGGGCCGGAGAGCCTGCATAACTTGCCAATTAGCGCCCTTCGTAGGTCGCTAGGGGTTTCCAGAGCCGATGCCATACCGAAGCTGATTATCATACAGGTAACTTGAGAGCCGACGAAAGCGTTGTAGGCGGAGCTGGAAAGGAGATAACTGGACTTTGTGTCAGATCGGGTATCTCACTGCGCGACAGAAAGGCGTCTTCAAATGATACGCACATCAACCCCATAAGAGCGCAAATCAGGGACGGCAGGGTAATCGACCAAAATGGCAGATTGGAGTTTAAGCAGCGCTTGGCGAGCCTAGCCCAGAGTATCATTTGTTAGGGGTCTAATGTCAAGTGACCTTCCTAACCTCAAGAATCCCAAAGAACCTACTGAGCATTCCAAAAAAGGCCACCGTCTCGGGCGAACGCATAGCCCTGTCGGCTCATGGTTACCGCGCTGCCCAACGCCGAGGCGGCATTGTTGATAATCAAAATCAGACAAAACACGATGGTGGCGGCATTACTTCCTGTGCCTGATCGGATGATCTCCAGCACAGGCACCCTGCGTGATCGCCGTTAGCAACGATGTACAGTACATGAAGTGAGTTTTGGGGGTGGATCGGGAAGGACAGAAGAATCCAGCATACCCTGTGGCGCTGCTTGTGATGGCGGACACGTCGGTTATGGAGAATCCCAAGACAATGATCCACACCAGCCCGACGAGGAACTGAGAAAGAACGACAATCATCATTATCCGAGGGAGCAGGACTTTCGGCCGGGGCAATTCCTCTGCGAGGTGGGCTGGTCCATCCAACCCCATCATGGTTCCGAAGCTATTGACCAGCCCGAGTAAAATCGCGAAGCCATGCGAATGGAAGCTTTAGCCAATCGGATTTTAGCAATTCCTGTCCTGGAGTAGGGGCACATGGCAAAACGATGGAGTGCTTGCTTACCCCGTCTCATCGTTGACCTGGGCGAACACAGATCTCGAATCAGCCTTTGGGGCCTTCACCAGTAGAGCGATGGTATAAGCCACAAACCCAAAGGCTGTCGCATAGCCTGTAGACATCACGTTAGTCATAATAACTTTCCCGGGGCTTTACCTAAGCCAGATGACTTGTGGGACTCACAGCCCAGGAGTTCCAACGTTGGAATGCCGCGAACGGCCACGAGATTGAACAGCCAGCATAGGATATTGATGGAGATGTAGACGACGAAGAGCTTCCAGCGAGGCGATATGTCAATTTCGGGGTTACAGAGTTTGACCAGCCCCAGTGTCAAGGTAGCAACAATCGCGCATGCGCCCGCATGGGTGAAGATCCAGCCGAGATAGTTCAACCAGCCAAGAGGATACGCTATTTGGCGGCGGTATTGGAGAGGAATCAGAAAACATGCGTAATGATAGGCGCCGCCTGGTCTTAGATGAGCTGATCTGGAGCTGTGTAGTACATCTATATTAAGGTAACCATGCACTGCTTACCTGCAGTAGAGAACCTTGATGCACACTGGGCAAAGGTCATCACCATGCAGATCACCGCGATATTGGAGCCGATGCTGTCCACATGACGGTCAGATGCGAAAAACGACAGGGCGCCAAACTTTCTCCGGCTGGCTAGGTGGGATTGTACATACAATCCGTAAAGAATGACCGGGACACCGCCGGCCGGTAGCCCTACGACGATGATAAATGACAGAGTTCCAAAGACATTGAGGGTCAGCCACCCTAGACCGATCGCGCTCCAGAGACCAAATATATGGGGAGACTGTGTTTCAGGTTCTAGAGACATAGCGACGGGGGCTTGGTGAGTTCTGTTCGCAGATTTGCTTGACGCTTGAAAGGATCATCACCTTATCTGTCTGCCTTTAAAAAGGAAAGTGCTATTTAGTTCCCTGGCTCACTACACCGAACTGAAAGGAGGCCGACATTCGGTATTGGCATCCTGCTCCCTATCAGAGATGATAAGATATCTTGATAGCATATTAGAGACAAGAAAGGAAAGGTTGAACTATGAGGCCTTTGCCACTGATAAGCAATCTATAAAAGTTCTATCGCAGGCCAATAGACATGAAGATGTCTTGACTTGGCTGGTCCGGGCGCATGTACGTGATTATTTGCTCAACTTACTGAAGATCTTATTTTGATAACTTGACCTGTGAAGTGACAATTTTCATTCATCTGTTCCTACTCGGGCGGCCATTACGTGCATAGGGAGTGAGCTCTATGGTCGGCCTCTGGACTCCTTTTAGATTGATCAGCGTTTTTGCACCGAGATAATGTTTCCTATAAAAGCGTGTTATGGGCGAGGAAAGCTGAAAAATAAGGCAGTTGGGGCCTACAATGAGGCTTTTGAGCTAAGTGTATAAAATGGCTGCAATCCTCTCCATGACAAGACTCACGGAAACATGAGAGATAATCAGCCCATCAAAGTAAAACGTTGATCTCCGCTCCTAGTTCCCTGATAACCTCCCTCCATTGCACTCTACCCTCGTGAGTGGCACTCGTCTGTTGCCATATGGCTCTCAGAATCGATATCACGGAAAGCGGTCCCTGAAATTCTAAAACGGTGTGCATTTCATTCAACTTCGCCTCAAACCTTGAGTGTGCTTGCTCGGTCCGAGCATGCAGGGCAATCATGAACACAGGGAACAAACAAGCCTGGAGCCAAGATAACTTATCCAGCGGCTCCATGGAAGCCTGCACCAAGTCCTTGATCAGATCGTCATTGGGCCCGAGGGCATATATCTCGCTGTACACAAAACACAGCATGCCCACCTTCCAGATGCAATTGAAGTGCTGAATTGAGCTGACGAATTCTTCAGGAACCGTGGATATATTCGGGTGCCATCCCTGGATCCTGTTGACCAAATCCGCGACCCGGGGCATCAACCGCAACATCTCGTCCTTTGATCCGGTAGCGCTGATCCGAGCCACAGCGAGGGAATAATCGGTCGCCTCGCGCAGGAAGAGATGCATCTGGTAGTCGGGTAAGTTGTCCCACCATTGACGCTGATGGGAGGCCATCTCTAGCCCTTCGGTGAAGCTGCCTCGAGATGGTACTATTGCCAGAACGAAAGGCGTGCCGTCAGTCTATCTGCAGTATCAAGTATAAACTAGATTGGTAGGGCGAGACTCACATTCATCGATGCATTTAAGCTCGTTGAGAGTTTCCTCCGGTACCAAGCCTCTAACCAGGGTCTTGCCCATCGTAACTGCCCAGTTGTATTGAAGAAGGACACAATGCAGGCCGGTGAGCGTCTTGGTACTTGTTGAAGCCGAGAAAGCGATTTCCAACAGTCGACGACAGCCTATAAGCTTCGAGCTCCATGTCGCCAATCCGGTACCGATGATCTGTGGAGAGTTAATGCGTTTTCTGCATGACGGGAAGAAGACGGTATACATCAAAGACAACGGAGAGAAGGACAGTTACTCCCAGGCTCCACGCCTCATCTTGGCTTTTCAAGGCCTCGCGGAATGACTCTTGCACTGCCATGCGGTAGGGCTTGATGGCAAACCTGGGTAACCGTCCTTGTTTAGTGAGATGGAGTGCAGACGCTAGCATGATCGATTTCAATAGAGGTTCTGACTCCGTTGCAAGAGCCCCATATATTGTTCGATAGGGATTTTGGTCTTTTTTGACCGGGTACAGTCGCAAAGCAAGGGTCTCCATATCTAGAAAGGAAGAAAAAGGTTACCAAATCTTTCGGCAGATGGAGTCACGAAGGGGGGACTGCGACTCACAGTAGGTAAATAGATACTGGTCAAAAGGATCCTGAGGAATGGGTGGCAGGGCTGTTGACTCATGCATGAATATGAGCGAAGGGTCGAGAGTCGACATCTCCACTGAGTGCGCAGTATCTACAAAGCAGTCTCCTGCTACTTCAGCCACGGTGGGAGGCGTGAGGGCATTACGTTGCGCCTCAGGTTCAGCAGATACAATCCAGTCCAGATCTTCATCCCAGCGCGAATCGAGGTCCAGAAACAGAGAGTCGTCTATCAGCTCAAAAGGCGATTTCGAGTTTTCACCAATTTCCATGCTTTCCAATCCTGATGTGGCGCTCGGTCGTGAGGCCCGCGGAATGACATCCACTTCGTGGTCAGCGGGTCGGTTTCTCTTCATCTTCGACACCATCTGCCCTTTCCGATTGCCACGGGCTGTAAAGTCGGTCAACATAATGCCATACCCTCCGCAGTCGACCCCACGCAGGCGACAGTTCATGCAAGTTGGCTTATGCTCGTCACACTTCTGATGTCGTTTTCGACAAGTCCAGCATCCTAGAACAGTCCGAATGTGTCAAATTGGAGGGAGTTAGGATGAACCGTCAGCATACAGGAAGAGAGCCTACCAGTTCTGGATCTCTTTCTAAGCAGATTATCGTCATGGTTGTTAGGCATAACGGGTGTCTCTCGTGTGCCACTGCAGCGATCTGACAGGCCAGGTTATCGTGATCAGTTGAGCGGGGGAAGAAAGTTGATACCCCGCCTTATCGGTAAAGATGCCCTCTTATAGAAGCTCCGCGGAGCCTGATTAGATAAGGGTGGACTAGCTTCGATCCACTTCATTATTGGATATACAGCACGTCTGACGTGCTCCGTACTTGCTAGTGAATGTATTCAAATTCAAAGATTTGACATGATTTTGGAAACTTTCGGAATTCTATCTCACAAACAGAAAGACAAAAAAAAAGAAGAAAAGTGTTCTGTAGCGATAAAAAGAGAAAAAAAAAAAGGGAAAAATAAGAGCTAAGACAGGGAGAAAAAAAGCTAGAGATTCAAGGCGTACTATAAGAACTTCTTCTCTGGATTTTGCGGAAAATTGGATTCACGTATATAACATATTCCACACTGAAGCCTGGATGAATATCCCGAGTGAACTGTCGATGGGAATAGGGTCAGTCTAACCCGATTTGGTGGTGTTAGCCGATGGCCTCTGCACTGCAGAACATCTCCCGGCATCGCATCGCATCGCAAGCCTTTTTTGCATCAATTGTAGGACATGTGAGTCCTGATAATCTGGGCAGAATCTGAATCTCCCGGACCATCCTTTCATTCTGTTCTATCTCCAGACTCTTTCGCCGTCGCCTTCTCCCTTATAGAAACATGCGGAACCCTGAAGCCTTGGCGGCCCATGAAGGGTACGGGGATGATGTTCTCTCAATTGTGAGCCGGGTTGTGACCTCGGAAACTCGACAGAGGGAGCCTCTAGACACCGGCTGTTCAGCCCCTCTGGGAAAAGCTAGGCAGGGACTCGTCACTTGCCTCATTCTACTGTGCAATTTGATCCAGGTCTGCACCCTTCTTGCGAGTTTTCTTCTCCGTCTATCCTGAAAACTGTCTAACATCGACGCCTTCCTCTCCCAGTTTACCTCAATGTTCTCCACCGTAGCTGGAGGCTATGAATTCAGTGCTCGACTCGGGCGGAAAGTCGGAGCTTCACAAGCGAACTGGATGCCTGCCGCATATGGGTAGGTGCCCCAGAAATGGAAGGATTGAATTGCAACCTTGGAACTTGGAAACTTGTCGCATGCTCTAGGACACTGACGGCCGAGAGCGGGGCTGCTAGACCGGAGAACCTCAGTTGACAATTTTCGTAACAGACTTACTCAAAGTGCATTTGTTCTGATTAGCGGTCGGTTGGGAGCGATCTATGGCCACCAAAGACTTCTTTTGCTGGGAGGAGCGATTTTCGTCATCTTCTCGATTTGCAACGCATTCTGCACCACGTATGCTTCGTTCATCGCCATGCGTGCGCTGACCGGGATCGGAGGGGGCATTCTCATGCCCAACGCCGTGGCGGTGCTTACCATCATGATCCCACCGGGCAGAGCCCGGAACTACACCCTGGCCCTCTTTGCAGCGTCACCGCCCATAGGCGCTTTGATCGGGGCACTGATCACTGGAGCCATCCTGGAGTCTACCGATTGGAAATGGATTTTCGTAATTATGTAAGTTTGCGATGGTCGGAAGAAAAGGCCGATACTATACAACCCACATCCAGAACTGAAACAGCTTTAGTGCGTGTCTGGGCGTTGCAGCGTTTGGGGGTCTTTTCTTTGCCGCCCCGCGCGAGGAGCGATTGGCAAAAGATGGCAAAGTGGACTACGTGGGCGCCGTGCTTGGCCTGGGTGGGCTCATTCTGTTCAATGTTGCGTGGAAGTATGGTGGCCCCCCTCCACAATCCTGCCGTTGTCTATAACTGATGATCATCGTAATCCAGTCAAGCCCCGTCCACTGGGTGGGAATCACCGAGCACTATTGTGATCTTAGTGTCCTCGGTGGTTACGATCGTCTTCTTCTTCGTCTGGGAGGCCTGGTATGCCGTGGAGCCGATCATGCCGGTGGCCGTCTTCCAGGCCCCCAGTTTCAAGGCGTTGATCCTGGTCGTTTTGTTCATTTACATGTCCGTTGGAATCTCACTTTGGTACATGGTGGCGTGGGAACAGCTGATCCGCGATTGGACGGTTCTTCATGTCGCAGTGGGGTGGATTCCCTACGGCCTCGGCGCGTCAATTGCGGTGACGGGTGCGGCCTGGCTGATCCCACACCTGGAGGCGCAGTATATTCTCGCTATGGGGTGCCTCGCCTCCTTGGCGTCTACAATGCTTCTAGCGACCATGCCGGAGCAGCAGCTGTACTGGGCCCAGGTTTTCCCCTCGACCGTGCTCGGCAGTTTCTGCCCCGATTTTGTTTACGTCGCCGCTCAGATCATTGCTAGCAATAGCGTCCAGAAACACGAGCAGGGGGTTGCGGGTAGCTTGATCGGCACGTTGAATTTGTACGGCAACAGCCTGGGACTCGGGTTTGCGGGTATTATTGAGGTGCAGGTCGCGAAGCACCAAGACTCTGAAGTCGCGGGCTATAGGGCTGCCCTCTGGTTTGGTGCCGCTCTCTCGATCTCGGCTTTGGTCTTGGATCTGACATTCGTGAGACTACGCCATGTTGACCGTGAGGATTGGGACTCAGAGCAGACGCCCACTACTGGCCCCATACCCGACATTTGAAGAACAGTTCGGGCACTAGAGAAATACCTTATGAATTAATTGGAAACCCCACAGGAGTGGAAAGATTCATTGGTTAAAAGGCATTAGACACTTACGATTTGAATTGGCAACAACCATTAAAAAATAGGAAGGTTCACCTCGATACTATACAAAATCGGGCAGTAGCATTGGGATAGCTCAATAACAACTCGCCCACTAACCCTAGTCAGTTACTGTACATGCTTCAACTGAATTATCAACCTATTACCCTTGGTTCAAGGCCTAATATATGTGCGTTGCACACAGGTCAGATCTTAACCCATGTCCAGACGCTGTGCTTCCATGGCAGCTCCGAATGCTATGGGTAGCCGGGCGTCTCAAATCGTAATGGCATTAGAGACGGATCTTACAACCTTTCCGTGACGCCTGAGTCGAACATTCTATGATCTTGTTATCCTAGCCATAAGCTTTTTGACCGGAAAAATGTTTGCCTGCCCTTTCATTCCATAATTATACACAGTTTGAATAACCTAGTGGGAGATAGTTCATGTGGCGAGGCAGGCCCAGTCAGGGCTATCGGCAGGCTTAACCCAAACAGGCCGTCATTGCCGCTCACCTTAGATAGCTTTCATCACCCATGATACCCGAAACCATACAACAACCAGTGAATGACTTGGAGTATCCAGGGCACCCAGGCATTCCCCCGCATTCTGCATAGGGCCCTTCCAAACTTGTTCGTTTGATCACCGGTATCGTTATGTCCTGCCATATGCGTATTCAATGCCGCTAATGGGCCTAGGGATGTCGACTCACTCAACACGCCCTTTTTTCAGAGGAGGGATTTTTCGATTCCAGGCTTCCAAGTTGAAGAGATCTATGGTGGCATTCTGGATAACGATTTGGGTAATCCTGCCATTTGGAGTTTGCCATGCTGCAAGGGACATCGAGTTTTCGGGAGATGATAGTTCCATCTAGTTAACTTGTTCATTTGTGAAGAAAGCAATCTGAGTGACAGTTCTGGACAAGCCTGTTTCCCAAGACGGAACAATCTGTCGCCAGGCGGCTTTAAAGTTTGATGTTTGGCTTAGTCCCTTGTAGGTCGACGGCTAGTTCACAGACAATTTTGCCAGATACCGTGACATCAAGAATTTAGGTACACACGCAATAAATGTCAAGTTAGTGATAGAACTTAGAAAGAATACCACAGAAGTATGGAGAATTATAAAGCTATTCCAGTGATGACAGTCAAATGATGCAAATGCATCATCATCGAATAATTTAGGAGTTCCCTTTCAATGAGTTTCTGATATACGCTAATAGCTATGCAGGTGGTATTACAATGAGTATTGATTACAGATTTGCAGAAGAATTGGACATATCCACCTCGAGAAGAAACAGCGAGAGCATCAGATTCGGCAAGCCTAATACTACTTTGCACGACTATCTTTAATAGCGTCGTGAAGTCAAGCTCCACCGAACAAATTCTAAGCAACACCCTCCCTTTCAACGTACCAGTACCAATAACTGCACACGAAGATCTTGCCTTAGGAGGCTGCGCCAGCCACCTGGCCGTGGAAGTCACCATAGCCGAACGGGTCTTCCCTGCTTCCCAACAGCGTGATCGGATCCTTCATGCCGACGTGACCACAGCTGGGGTGGCTAACCGAGTATCCCAGTAAGGCCTGGACCTCCGGCTGGTAAGTCTTGACCACATCCAAGTCCACCCCGAGGTATTGATTTTCATCTGCGCGCAGGGAGCCCCGGGTCATATGGCAGGAGTAGATGATGCGGCGCTCGGGCGGGTTTGTCCGGTTCTCACCCGCCCCGTGCCAGATGCTCCCGATGATGAACACCGCGTCGCCTTTCTTCATCTCGCAGGTCGAGCAGAGGGATCGATCCGCGGGGCCACAGATGGATGCTTCGGGCCACTTGTGGGAGCCGACAATGACCTGAGTGGCGCCGTTATCGAAGTTCGTGTCCTAGAAAGATGAAATTGGCCTGTATGAGCTGCGCGTTCGGGTTTCTTCGCTGGGAAATGCTTCGTCCGGAAAGGAGAGAATTCTGCTTACCACCCCCGCAACCAGCAGACCGAGGAGGGAGCTCTCTCCGCTCCCTTCCAGATGCTCGAAGTGCTGGGCCATGTCGTCCCGATGGAGCTGCTGGGCGGTTGAGGGAGAACCGCGGTTGAAGGCCTCCGACACGGCCAAGACGGGGTAGGAGACCGTGTGGTACCTTTTCCCATCGCGATACACATTTCTAAAACAACGGTGAGTCCAAGAAGTACAAGATAGAGACGACCAAAACTCTCACGATTCTTCCTTCAGTAGCGCTTTGGCAGTCTCGCGGAATGTGGGGTGGTTGATCGCTTGGTGGGCAAAGGTCGGGGACTTCCCTGAAAAACCGCTGAGGGGGGGATCCGCGGCATCGAAGAGTTTCCCAACATAGGTCCCAAGCTTCGACCAGTAGGGCTGCGCCTCGGCATGGATCTGGTCGATGGTTTCCGGACTCAGGAAGTTCTTGATGATGATGCCGCCGTCTCGCCGGATAATGTTGACAATGGCTTCAATGGGGGCTGTGGCATCCAGCTCCACCACTTCGGGGTTTCCAGCCTGGTGAGGGGGGTTAGGCATACTGTGTGTTGGGGGGATATACAGAAGGTAGGGGCTGGTGCTGTAACTCGATGTCTTGGGCCTTGTCCTTCCTTGGACTATTTATTCTTGTCGTATTGCGGTTATTCCGTGACACTTGGGGCGAGGCCGAAAATGGTCATCATAGCCTCGGCAATCGCGGTACGTTTGAGGTATCGATAGGATATCGCACATCTCCCAGGTCATCAACTTCGCGTGGCTCAAACCAATGCGTTTCCCACGAAATTACCACCTCTCAGCACGAGAGTTAGCGCAATAATGATTGCCGGCTATCAACACTCAATGTGGCCGTTCGTGGCGAATGCCGACTCTCGGGCGACCCTACGCCTATAAGCCAACCATTCACTTATAATCAGGATCAGCAGGGGCTGGAAATACTTAATTCTTGATCTCGTCTACCTTGTTTACTTATTTACCCCGCCTACCAAGTAACCATCTACACGAAACGCGTCCATTCTAGCACTTGCCCAGGTCTTCCACCGCCATGCCCGCCGCTGTTAAGCATTTCTCGGCCGCCGCTGCAGACCCGCACATCATCCACCAATACCTCAAGGCCGACGGCGTGGTGATTGTGGAGGGTGCCACCACGCGCGAGACCATCGACGCCGTCTTGGAGGAAGTCGGCACTGTCCCTGATGGACAGACCTTTGCACTGGCAGCCAAGAGTGTGGCCTTCGCGACCCAGCTCCTGATGAATCCCCTGTACCTCGATCTCAGCAACCGAATCCTCACCGACGCATGTATCATATACTATGAGCAGGAACGGACCGTGTCAATCTCAGAGCCCCAGGTCTCGCAGACCTCAATCTTGTCTGCCCAACCGAACAGCCTCCCCTGGGGCCTTCGTCGTCAAGACGAATGCCACCACATTTCCCACCCAGCCAAGCGCGAAGCCCAGTTGGGGATCATGTACGCTGCGCACGACCTCACCCGCGATAACGGTGCGGTGCGCGTGGTCATCGGGTCCAATCACTGGACGGACTCGCGGGACCCCAACTCCGAGGATGAATATCTCGTCGAGTTGCGCAAAGGCGACGCTTTGCTTTGGTGAGTCTGATACCCACCATGCTGCGTGCTTTCATAGAACTGACGATCTCTCTGTCAGGCTGGGCTCTACCTACTTCGGGCGCGCGGCAAACACCACCGACAAAGACACCGTGCTCTTGAGCGCGACCGCGACCGCAGGATACCGCCGCCAGGAGGAGAACCAATACCTCGCGGTGCCGTGGGAGGTGGTCGAGAGGTACCCTACGTCGGTGCAGCGGTTCCTAGGTTATGCCGTGAGCCGACCGTACGGTGGGTCCGTCGAGCACATGGAGCCCTTGGACTTTATGAAGGTAAAGGGCGACTGGTCCAAATATATCCCCGTGGATCTGATCTGAGCTGTCAGTCGATCAGCCGTTGTCGAGGTATATGTGCGGGTACAACAGTGCTTACTTCGATTAATGGCGTTCTTGACCCTCCGCCATTGCTATCTAGTCTGCATTACCATATAGCACCGCCTCTAAGAAGAATACCTAAATGACAATGAGTACGAGTATGTGAAGAAGAAGGAGGCAAGTGAGACTGCTGCTGCAGATCAGGGTGGAAGAGGTTGCTGTCGGAGTAACCTGTAAAGGGAATGGTGGGCTCTAGTTGTACGGGGAGACTATAACCATTATTTAAATCATTTGAAGGACAAAAAAGCAGACGACCACGGTATTTCGTTGGTCTGTCCAAGATCCGAGGAATGTAATATGTCTTGAAAACCATATTAAGGGATGCTCGCATTATGACTGCGGAGGCTGAAACATGGTGAGTTGCTCTCTGGGTAAGTACTTTGATAACAAGACCAGATATTATAAGGAGAGGTGTGCGCCAACTTTGAAGTTAAACCTAAAAGTCCAAATTAATTGCGAAAAACCAACCTTCGACCAGCATATATCCTCAGAAGGATGATATTAATCCTTATCGCGCGGCGGGCAGAGCATATCTGAGTCATAGCTCCCTCGGTACCGGAGCATGCATTTGGTAAGAGCGTCTACGATCTCCTCGATACTTCCACAGGAACGACTTTCCTCCCTGATCAGGCCTCGCACGAGCTTGAGGAGGTATAGCATCGAGCCATCGGCCCTCTTTACCATGTTGTACTCTAGCTTATATGGTTCATCTGGGGACACTAGCTTGGTCATACGCGGAAAGGCCTGGAGTAAGGGCTCTGCACGGGCATACCATAGCATATCAAAGCATATCAACCAAGTTGACTCCATCGATATTGTACCCGGGATATGACTCGAAAGCCTCTTGAAACGCCTTCTTGCCGCGGCTGGAGATACAGATCTTCACATTGTGCGGCCTGGCCTGTACCCAGTCCTTTAACGCCCGAATCATTCTGGGATGGTCGGCTGGGTCGAGCTTGTTGAGCCTGTCGATTGTGAGGAAGATCTTGTGCTCGTCAAAAGGCTAATCCGCTGCTACCACCTCATCCCTGGCGGTATAGAAAAAAAATAGATAAAAGTTTATTAATAGAGCTGTAGGCGTTCTACTGGGCGAAGTATCGGTTCTGAATAGATATATCAATTTGATAATACTTGTATTGATAGTCTGTTTGATTGCTCGATTCTTGGATAGGCTGAGAATCGTAGTAGGATATATCATCAAGCTTGCCAGTCGAAGCCTTGAAAGAATCATAATACTATAACTAGGTAATAAATCTCTCTATCTAGCTATCTTGAAAACAATCTACTTACATGGTTTGTTTGAAGGCGGAGGGATCGCAGGCAACATAATGAAAACAAACGGCTGTTAATTCACTTGGTGAATATAGCAGTTAAACGCAAGAAAGGTCCGCATTGGATTGCAACCTCAGGCACCAAGACCCAGGGCCGTCGTTAGGATGCCTGGGCTCCAGGTCGAAAGTCCGACAAAGATCGTCATATCTCGACTGCCACTGGTCTCCGCTTACAGGCCGCCTTTGCAGCATTCAAAGCACCTGAGACTAGATATTACCCGTCTCTGTGTTTTCTTCTAATTCTGGAACGCGGAGTTGCAACATCCTTGTCCACAGTTTCACCCACTGTTCAACTTCTTCGATGTTGTTTACACACTTATCAATCATTTCGAGTAAAGCGGGATTCTGCCTCTGCTCTTGATCTCGAGTTTGGTCAGAGTTTGATTCGCGGATCCTGGATAGCGTTTCCCGGAGCTCCCGGAGCTCTCGGAGCTCCTGGAGCTCTTGAAGCTTTTCCTCAAAGGTTTTCGTCTCGTTTTGGCGAGACATGGTGGCTATCGGTATGTCAGTACTGGAACCTGGCTGAGTGAAGTTCTTCTGTAAGGCGGTGTGGTTGAGGCAGGATATCAGGATCTTGTTGAGGGGTCGACCGCGGTATTTATACCGCGAAAATGTCGTAGGGGCTGGAAGATATCTAGAGGTTGCAGGAACAAAGCCAAAGGCAGAGACTTATGATTAGAAGAGGGTTGATAAGGAAGAACCGAGCTCCAGTCGGTGATCATCTATCAACAGCTTTTGGTATCTCATCCAGTTATCTTATTCTTTTAAGAAACAATGCAGAAATACAACTAGCCGCACAAAGAAGCAAGAATCATATAATCCTATTGTGTAACAATAGTCTTTGATCACAGAATTATAACAACAGATGATTGGAAACGAGGAACAAAGCACCTTTGTTGAAGATGATAACCATGACCCGATTGATGTACCGTAGTCCTGGCAGACTTGTGGGTATTACGTGGTATGGGTAGTAGCCCCGCCGTCATCCATGTCTGAGAAACATTTTTACTCGCAGAAAAGGCATACCTTGTTCCCACACGAGCCAATGGGGGTCCCTAATTGGTGATTGCAGAAGATCTTGAAAGTTCTTCATCCTGTCAGATGAGCGCACCTCGCAGTAGTGGTAGTAGCCGATCAAATCCACGGTTCATGATACTTCAGATACTGACTTTGGAAATCGGCTTGAGCTGCAAGCGAAAGAGAGTCTTTTTTTCTTTGGACTTCTCATATCTCCTGTGGCCGGACCTTGTACATATTTGCCGATCGGAATGCAGAAGCAATTGAAGCACTCATGCAGAGTCAAGGTGAGAATTGACATCACAAGTCTAATAGCATAATACTACCCGTCTAATACAGATTTACTCTCATCTGGCAAGGAAAGCTTGAGATAAATTGTGCGACAAGATGGCTGAAAGGTAACCTCCATCAGGATAGACCAGTATTCAGGCAGTACGAGTTTCGTGTTACCCCAAGCACACATGCATTTCCGGGGCAGGAGATAGCTGAATAGGGGCGATTTGAGCAAGTTGACTGACTATGAAGGAGAAGCTGCCAGAGCTATCCTTGACTATCCTTGACCCAGTGCATTGTTTCCTATTATCCTGATGGTGGACGGTTAAGACGAGGTATTACGGGACTGTGTGGGATGAAAGCCGCATTATAGACCTGATGGCGAAGCTTAAAGCGTACGAAGAGCGGCTGAAAACCATCATGGGCTAAGTGGTCGGCGAAGGGAGCAGTTGGTTGCTGAAATCCCGTAACGGCCGTCAACTCGGAGTCAAGGGTCGAATTTGCACATGAATCAATAGCCGAGTTCCTCGCACGTGAGCTCCACTCACCTAAAGAGGATCTTGGCACACTCGAAGCGATGAGCCAGATGTTGCTGGCCAACCTCAAAATCTCTGCAACATCGATGAGATTGCAGCGCGCAGGCTTCCCGCGGTGGGGAGCTTCCTTAATTGTTGTCACCTCTCCGCTAGGAATCATTTCTCCACTACTTCGAGTTCCCTACCATGCGCATCTCAAGATTGCTTGGAGAATTAGTGCCCATTCAAAGGAGCAAACAACTTAATCGGAGCCCTGGACAAGCGAATCAAACCCCAGCAACGGCCTGAGCAGGTCGCCGTATTCCTGTCGGCGATTATTCCTGCAAACTACAGCTTCCATTTATCCCCCTCAAGCGCATTTTCAGAAAACACGACATATAGAAGGTTGATTCTGAACACCCACGGGCTGGCTATAGAAGCGAGGGAGGGACTGTCGAACAGCTGTTTCGGATTCTTGCTACGCAATAGATTAGCATGGCATAAGGACATATCACGATTGGCAGACAATCCACGCACTACCATGCGAGAGATCCTATTCAGTACGCTGGCATACAATACAATCATAACAGCGCAGGAACGGGATGCGCAGTTGGGCTAACAAGTCATCGGATATCTGCGGGGACGTTATTAGAGTGGAGAGGAGAAATACAGGGCACTGCGAAATTGGAGGGCAGCTTTGCTTCAAACAATGAAATAAGGATATTGACCATGCTACGCGAATGATTTACGGGCCAGTTGAGAAACGGGTACCTAGTACAGAAATGGCACAGTAGGTCTATAAGTAATGCCCTCTAAGGAATCTTCCACATTGCATTCCTAAAAGAATTGGTGGGGCTTCGTCATACGCCGATCATTGATGGCTGGCGGAAATCATATTCCGCTAGCTGGCGTCTCCACATTTACATTTACCCCAACAGCCCATCGAATGCGCGCAGGTTCCGCGCAGCGGACGGCATTTCGGAATGAGAGCCGCGAACGTCTATCTACCTGGTACCGCTCGGTGCCGGTATCTTTCCCCGATAATGTGTAATTCGTGCATAGTCCGATCCTATTTACCTTACCACGGATCAGGAGGCCCATGCGTTCGTTGCAGGGCAAGGCTGGAGTGGCGGATTTACAGATTACTTGAAGAAAGGAGGATGCGGTTTACGCGAAGCTTTATGATTGCTGGGAAAAGAGGTATTCGAAGAAACCCAGTATCGGCCGGGGCATATAACTAAGTAGCATGTGATGAATGACCAGACGCCATCGATCAGGTGGAGGTCTTCTTCTTCTGCATCACCATAGGTAGGGTCTTAGGGTCGGGAGGTCGCTCGACATACTCCTGGAGTTCGATATGGAAGGTTTCCGCCCATTTCTTCTCATGCTTGGGAATCCAGCCAAGCTGTCTGGCAAGGACGGCTTTGCAACGAGCACTGCATAGGATCTCAGTCAGCGGAAGAGCATCTGGAACCAAGGAAACAAAAACCATGAAAACGAAGAAAGAACAAGTCAAAGGTTCTGGGTATCACAAGGGGTCTGCAATGCGAAACTCACTTTGCACCAAATGACAGCTCGACCCGAGCTGCATTCCCCCCGGCCCATGCATCGGCAGCCTCCTGCACCGAGACACTGGCAAGCTCCGCCGATTTGAATATCCCCAGCTCCAGCCCCGCATCGACCAAGCGCTGCGAGAACTCGCGGTGGGTGTGTTGGCCGGACTCGCAAAAATAGATGCCTCGTCGGCCAGAGGGGATCTCCCTGCTAACGTCCTCGTCGGCGATGTGTTGGAGCAGAACCACAAAGAAGCGGGCCAGATCGTCGATGTGCACGTGGGTCCAGACGGTCTGGCCATCGCCCAAAACCTTCACCTGGCCCGTCGTCACCGCGTCCGCAATAATAGCGGGCAGCTGCACGGAGAAGCGGTTGAACAAGTCCTTAGACAGCCCGAAGATGGTAGTTGCCATCACAATGTGCGTAGGGATCCCCAGCTCTTCGCCCAGTTCCACCACGGCAATATCCGTGGTGCGCTGGTAGTACACCTCCCGCGCCTCTCGCGCCTTTTCGTAGGCGAAGATATCATCCTCCGCGTCGGAGAAGATGTGATCCTCGATGAAATTCGCCGAGTGGGGCCGGTCGCTTAAGTTGGATGTGCCAGAGATCTAGGCGAGGGGGGATGTTATTCGGATGGTCTGCCCATCTCTCTGTACAGGGGCGGAGAAAAAGGTTCTAGAGAATACCTGAATGTAGTGGGGATGGCGATGCCCTGCCCGATTGCGTTTTCCGATGTCGAGTCCCCTCAGGAATGCCCTCGCCGAGGCCGTGTGCCAGCCTGCTCCGTCATGAATGATGACTGCCCACCCTCGAGGATCAGCATCGAAGAAGCCAAACAATGAAAGCAGCATGCATCTTTTTCTCACCATCGAATTCTTGGGCAATTTCCTCAAGCTTGTCCAACTCAACAAAATCCGAAACGACGATCGGTTCGACTGGAGACAGCGAGCGGATCTTGGCTGCCTGGGCCTCTGATCACACGAGTCCTGCAATGCGCCAGCCCGACAGGTCGTTGTTCGCTGGGCTTCGAGGACTTCGGCCACGATGGCACCGCCTCTACAGGTGAAAGGCGAGTCAGCATTTTGGTCACCGTCGTGTACAGTACAGGCCCATGGGCTGGCTTACATGTAACCCGAAACCCCTGTGATCAGAATTGACCGGGTCATCGTTTGTTCAATTGAACAAAGAATGATGAAACAATCCGATGAGAAAGAGTGAAGAATGAAGCAAATGAGAGAAAAGGTATGAAAGGTAGTCTGCTTTGCTTACAAATCCGGGGCTGAATCGACGCTTCGGCTGCTCGGCACTGACCATTACGTCGGCTACGGTTAAGCAAGATCAAATCCGAGCACACGGCGAGCTGGACAAGTGCTAACAATATTCAATGCGCGCCGAGACTGCCGAGCGGTTAGTACAATAATAGTGTTATATTTGTTTAGATGGTATGGAAGGTCAACGATGCCGAACACGGAGTCCCAAAAGATATATTCTGTCAACCCAAAACACAGTAAAAGATTCATAGTCACAACAACCGTTCTCTGAGCTCAAGAGCGGTGAGACTAAATCCTTCAATACACCTCATAGTACTGATGTAGAGACCTCATCGAGGGTCAACGAGGGGGCTAGTCTCTCTCCGAAAGCAATCTAAAGCGCCGCCTTAGCGAGATTGTTCATGAACGTGGCATCCTTGAACGGCACCGTTGCCTTGCCAAAGTCTGCGCCTTCCAACCCATCTTTGGCGGCCTGCGGCAGCGAATCCCACGCCACGAGCGCCAGGTCCCGGCCCAGCGTCTCCGTGAACTGCAGCTCGTGGTTGGTCGGGAAGCTGGTGAAGTACTCGACCTTGGGGCGGTCGCCCTGGCGCGGCGGGCTGGTCGTCTTCTTATACTTGCCGTGGCCCGAGGCGGCGCCCCCGAGGAGCGTCGGGCTGGCGTTGCTGGGGTTGTTCACCCAGATGACAACGTTCTCCCAGTCGTGGCGGTGCGCCCCCGTCGAGACCCCGCTGGTCGGCATGTCCTTCGGCATGTACCAGGCGTACATGATCCCGTAGCGGCCGTTGTACCAGCCTCCACGCACGTAGGTCTGGCCTCGCGACTGGTCGCGGCAGCCGCCCGTCGCGCTTCCGGTGTCCTGGAGGCCTCCACTATTTTTGTTTGCCTGTTAGTGGGATGATGACGGGTTGAGACGGGAGGGAGCGGGTGGCCTGACCTGGTATCGCCGTTGGCGGCGACAGCTGGGTAGGATTGGCAGCCGTGGGCGATGTGAAGGTAGGGCTCAAATTTCTTGAAGGCGTTGCCGACGGCATCGTTGGGGACCGTCTCAGCGAACGGGGTGATGCTGTCGTGGGGGACAACGGCCCGCTTGGCAAGTGGCGAGGCCTGCGCCGCAGTGAGGGTGGTAAGAATGGTGATGATGGTTTTGGGAAGCATGGTGCTTGAGTGACAGGGGGTTGAGGAACGTGAGTGTTTGCTGGGTGGTGCGAGTGATAGCTCAGGTGCAGCCGCCTTCGAGCTCCATTATATAGCTTTTCATACGACACAGCTTCGAAAAGCATGCACTCCTCGATTCAGGAGGTCATGTACTTTACCTCGCCTCATTGACGCAGCCAAGCTCATGTACTTGGTACTTGGCCCAGAGAGCGAGGTCGAAACACTCATCATAGAGCGACCTTTGGCCGGATCATGGATCGTAGGATTGCCAAGAAGACACAGCCTGCAGGGTCCCGGACACGGTCGGATGAAGATGAGTGGAAAGGTTCCAGTTGGTCAATTTGTTAAGGTTCAACGTTCCTCTGGCACGGTGGAATGGTTTATATAAAGTTGGGCATTCGGGGGAATTGGGTGGATTGCATTGGATCGGTTTCGCAGCTCCACCTGCCAAGCCTTCCTTCGGTACTCGGGGTTTCGTCGGAACATTCCTGTGATCGACATCGGCAGAGACATCTATGTCTTGGCCCTAAATATCAGGGGTCCTCTGGCTCAACGGGAGGAGCTGGGCTTGAAATGGCAGAATGGAACGTGCTAATCGATTCTGTAAGGGTGACCGCTGGGAGCGCAAATGAACACCCAACAGCCGATTTCTCCCGATATCATGTCTGCAGCAAACCACAGACTTGCTGCGCTGCTGCTGCCTGGCAGATAATGACGACATGCTCACGGCGGTTGATTGGGGGATGGGACAGGGATACTCAGGCACATTGACCTCGCAATATGCATGTTGACAGTGTCCGATTGGGCCGATAAGCAGAGTCAGTAAGCAGCCACCAAATACATCGAATACTAACAGACTACAAGAAGGCGAAGGCTGCAATCTTCACACGTCGATTTCATTTTCTCCGTGCAAAGAATTTCGTACATAAAGTTTGGACCCCCAAGTGACTCCACCGATGGGCATTGGGCGGTCCCCACGAGCTTTTAATCATGTCAACATATTTCGAGCCACCAGGGCCTTGGAATACTTCAGTACTGCCCAAGCGCAGGCCGGTGACTTCTGTAGGCCCCGACTTTACACCCATCTTCGAAGACACTGTCTTGTCGCTGCTACCATCGGCACTTTTGTTACTAATCCTACCGTATCGCATCGCATGCCTTCATGGTCAGCAGCCGAAAGTCCTTCCTGGAGGCTTTCTACGCGAAAGCAAGTTCATCTTCTTAGCCACATTGGCTGCCACTCACCTCGCGCTGTTGATCTTCCACATTCTGAGCCCATCACTCCGCACGCCCGCCACTCTTCCCGAGTCCGCCGTAACATTTGTTGCCAGTCTAGGCCTTTGTCTACTTTCGCGGCTGGAACATACTCGCTCCGTCCGCCCATCGGCCATCATCAATGGCTACATCCTTCTGACTCTGGTGTTTGACGCTGCCCGCGTGCGAAGCTTGTTCCGCGCTTCAGCCGCCAGTTTTTTTTCCGGAGTATTCTCTAGCATGATCGCTGTGAAGGTAATGGTTCTACTGGCAGAGGCTGTGGAAAAGCGACAGATTCTCCTGCCGCCGTACCGAGGCTTGTCGCCAGAGGAAACGAGTGGCATTTACAGCCGATCCTTTTTCTTTTGGCTGAACCAACTCATGATATCGGGCTTTCACAGTGACCTTCAGAACGAAGACCTGTATCCCATTGATAAGAACATGTCCTCACAGTTCCTTCAACAGCGCATCAAAAATGCGTGGAATATGGCGGCACAGAACAAGCCGCGAGCCTTGTTCTGGACAGTGCTACGTGCGAACCTGAAACCCTTTCTTTATTGTGTTCTTCCCCGTTTGGTTCAGATTGGGTTCAGATATACCCAGCCCCTCTTGTTAACCCGCACCGTCAGCTTTGCGAACGATCAGCGCCAACCTGAGAGTATTGGATGGGGTCTAACTGGCGCCTTTTTCCTCGTGCTCCTCGGGGTTGCTCTGTCGAATGGCGTGTTCTACCACATGACCTTTCGCTTCGTGACCAGTGCTCGCGGGAGTTTGATCAGTTTCATCTATGCCAAAACGCTGGATCTGGACATCACGGCTCTCGATGAATCAATTGCAGTGACACTCATGTCCAGTGACGTTCAATCCATTTGCAACGGGCTGCAGCTGGTTCATGATCTCTGGGCGGTACCCCTAGAACTGGCTATTGTGGTTTATCTCTTAGCGCAGGAGATCAAGATGGCAGCGATAGTCCCGGCTGGCTTGGCAATTTTCTGCACGGCCGCTATTCTGTCCATGGCTAAATACATGAGCAACGCACAGAAAGTCTGGATGAAAAGCATTCAGACGCGAGTCGATGTCACGGCAACCATGCTAGGGTCTATGAAGTCAGTCAAAATGCTGGGTTTCACCGACTGGCTCTCGCGAAATATACAACGGCTTCGTGTTCATGAGCTTCACGAGGCGAAGCTATTTCGCCGGTTGCTCGTATTACGTGTATTCCTTGCAAATAGTCTCAGGTTCCTTGCCCCACCAATTACGTTAGCCATCTACGCGTTAGGAGCCAAAGAGGGACAGGGATTGAATGTGAACTCGACCTATTCGACGCTGTCGCTGATCTCGCTGGCTGCCTCACCCGTGAATGTTTTCATTCGAGCTCTCCCTGCCATGAATACTGCCTTGGCCTCGCTCACCCGTATCCAAGAATATCTGCAGTCAGAGAGCAGACGGGATTCTCGCATCTTCACGGAAGATCCTCGAGCCTCTGTCCAGGAATCTCAGGCAACCTCGGAGAACATAGAGCTCGCAGATATGAGCCGCCCCAGATACCACAGTGCTGCGGAGGTAATCACTGCCCGCGATGTGAGCTTTTCATGGAATCAACCATCGTCTTTCTCGATTCACAATATCAATTTGAGTTTTCGCGAAAGCCAATTCTACTTCATAATCGGACCAGTGGGCTGCGGGAAGAGCACACTCGTGAAGGGTATTCTCGGCGAAACGCCTTCAACAAAGGGATTATTACACGCAAGACACCGAGAGACGGCATTCGTCGATCAGACGCCCTGGATCTGCAATATGTCGTTCCGTGATAATGTTGTGGGCGCCTCCCGATTCACCGAGACATGGTATCACCAAGTTGTCAGCGCATGTGGACTGGATCAAGATGTTGCTCATCTTCCGCATGGCCACGGTGAGTTATTCTTATTCGAGCGCCTGTGTTACCAAAAGACACTCTAACCCACAACGTCAGCTACTAAGGTTGGTTCATCTGGTATCTCCCTCTCTGGTGGACAGAAGCAAAGGCTGGCCCTGGCTCGTGCAGTGTATGCACGCAAGAGGATTGTCATCCTAGATGATGTTCTGTCAGGAATTGACCTCGACAGCCAAGACCATATTATGAAGAGCCTGTTTGCCAACCAGGGCCTCTTTCGTCGGCTGGGGACAACGGTAATCATGGCTACGCATTCTGTACACAATCTCTCTTATGCGGATTATGTCGTCGCCATGCGAGGTGATGGGTCTATTGCAGAACAGGGTACACTAGAGGATCTCGAGGCGAGTGGCGGCTACATGGGTACATTGCGAGCCCAGTATAAGCATCGAACATCTAAGGATTCTAGTTCGCAAACACATACGCCTGTCAACGATGCACATACCGGCTTAGAGCAAAGACAGCGGGCTGAAACCGCCAGCCAGGAGAGGACCAGGCAGAGTGGAGACTGGACTCTTTACCTGTGGTATTTTGGCACCGTGCACTGGGCATCCACGGCTCTTTGGATGAGTTCCTTCATATTAGAAGGCATACTTCCTAAGATCAGCGAATGGTTGGTCAACATCTGGATGGGCGCAGTCGCGAGCCAGGGCAGCGCCGTCAACCCTTTCTACCTGGGTCTTTATAGCATGTCATCGATCATAACGGCTGTGAGCCTCGTTGGTGGCTCGTACCACCTACTTATGTTCTTTGCGCCCCGCAGTGCTGAGAGACTGCACGAGCGTCTCTTAAACTCGGTCATGCATGCGCCTCTCTCGTTTTTCACTTCGGTCGATACTGGCACCACAGTGAATCGGTAAGCCGTTCTGGTTTATCGATCCATGCCGTCGCGTCACACTACTAACCACGGCTTATAAACAGGTTCAGTCAGGACATGACGCTGGTCGATCATGACTTACCATACGCCGTCCTAGATTTCGTGTTTGCTCTCGCAGGAGGGCTTATTTCCGCGGTCATGATCTGCATCTCGACCCGGTACTTCGCAGCCGTGATTCCGCCCCTGTGCCTGTTCCTATGGATGCTGCAGAAATTCTACCTCCGCACCTCCCGGCAGATGCGGTTGCTGGATCTGGAGGCCAAATCCCCGCTCTTCTCGCAATTTCTCGAGACCCTGTCCGGTTTGATGACCATCCGTGCGTTTGGGTGGGCATCCGCCTGCGAAGAACAGAGCCTCACCCTTCTCGACGGGTCCCAGCGACCCTTCTACCTGTTATTCTGCATCCAGCGATGGCTGGAACTCGCGCTGGACCTGTCCGTTGCGGTGCTCGGTGCGATTCTCATGGCGCTGGTGGTTAAGCTACGCGGGACGCTAGGCACCGGCTACGTCGGGCTTGCCATCCTGAACGTTATCACCTTCAGCCAGTCGCTGTCGCAGATCCTCCGCAACTGGGCGGACCTGGAGACCTCCATCGGCGCGATCGCCCGCATCCGGGACTTTGTGACCCACACGCCGTCCGAGGATCAACCTGGCGAAACTGTGGGGCTGGCCGAGCAGGTAGAATGGTCCTCGTGGCCGTCTAGGGGAGCCATCGAGTTCCAAAACGTCTGCGCATCGTACACGGCCGGAGACGCAGCCAACACTCCGGTGCTTCGAAACCTATCCCTGTCAGTGCAACCAGGACAAAAGATTGGCATCTGTGGCCGCAGCGGGAGTGGCAAGAGCTCTCTTCTGGCGGCCCTGTTCCGACTGCTGGAGCTCGACCCCCGTGGCCGCATCTTGATCGACGATGTCGACATTGCGCGCATCCCACGGCAGATGACCCGCGACGCGCTCAATGCTATCCCGCAGGACACATTCTTCACACACGGCACCATTCGGACCAATCTGGATCCGGGAGGCCGACATAGCCATGCGGAGGTGGAGCGGGCGCTTCGCCGTGTGGGGCTGTGGGCGGCGGTGCAGACGAAGGGGGGAGTCAGAGTCGCCCTGGACGCGAACGCGTTCTCGCACGGCGAGCGACAGCTGCTCTGTCTCGCGCGGGCACTGCTACGGAAGAGCAGGGTGGTGGTGCTGGACGAGGTGTCGAGTAATGTGGATGTCGTGGCGGATGCGCGGATGCAGCGGGTGATCCGGGAGGACTTTGCGGGCTGCACGGTGCTCGCGGTCGCGCACCGGCTCGAGACGATTCGGGATTTCGATCGCATCGCAGTGATGCACGAGGGCCACCTGGTCGAGTTCGATACGCCCGAGGCACTGCTCAGCACGGATACTGCGTTTAGGCGGCTATACCAGTCGTAGAGCTGAGGAAGACGCAACAGTCGAGTCGTCGTATACCATACTTCAAGCCAGGTAGTTGAGGTTCAATTATCAGAGCTTAAACCGCACACGTTTTAATCCTATTTTCAATGTCAAGACGGTGTTGGAAATGGTAGTGCTACCACTGAACATCACTCCTTCGGGCCCTTCTGCTTGCGACAGACCTCAGAAGAAGAGATCTGCCGCAGTTTCGGCACGTTGTGGGGATAATTACAACAAATAAGGCATGGAAACGCCCGGCTCTGTGGGGGTCTAGCTGCGTAGCATAATAAGCAGGCTTCATGCGCCTTGGGCTTAGTGCTTACAGTTCCACGCTGTACTCGTGGCTAGAGGTTAGACGAGCCCGCCACTAATATTCCAATCTCGCACCCGGAGCAACGCATCGGTCGATTATCTCCGATGATGAGAGTCACTGTGATGAGCCGCCTGAAAATGTGCATGGGAAGGTTGCTTTAGCGTTTCTCCTCGACTGCAGGTTTAAATTCACCAACCGCCCTTCTCTCTCGTTCGTGGCGAGCAAGGGCTCTCTCTTCCCCAATCTGTCTGTTCCCTCTCTCTCACATAATTAGGTATATTCTCCCTGGAACTCTGGCTCAATGCGCAGGAACTGATGACTGCAGAGATTCACAATTGCGCCCATGGCAGCCACCGTCCCCAGCCATGTCCCCGCCTACACCATCGGAACTCTTAGCGTGGCTCTGGGCCTGAACGCCATCTTTCGCCCTGAGGCAGAGCATCCGCGTTTTGGTTTGCCGTTGGAACACGGCGGCGGTCAGACTCCACCGCACCGGGGCTCCGCCGTCTCCCCGCTCATGTATCTGAAAGGCATCCGGGAGATCAGCTATGGCCTGTTGCTCATCGGGTTACAATCCCAGGGCCAAGAGACGGCCGTCACGACGTTGGCGGCGGTTATGGCCTGTGTAGGGCTGGCGGACGGCGTCGTGGTGTGGTGTTGTGGAGGTGCGGAACGGAGACAGAAAGCTTGGGGTCATTGGGCTACGTTCTTAGGGCTGGGAGCATGGGCTTGGTACCGGGTTTCTATTGACGGAGCTGGTTAAGGCTCAGGTGAAAAGCACTTTGATGGCCTCGTGTGGCAAAGGCGCATTGGCGACTGCTGCACTGACGGCGGGAGAAATGAAGGGAACGGGACTATCTCAATCTGGATCCGCCTAAGACATAGGCAATCAGTGATACAAAGATTAAACAGAAAATGTAAAAATTGAAGCTGGTCTTGAGATCTCCATGAAAGCTTTCGCTACTTGAACAAGTCCGGTGGCCACCCATCTGCTCGGCGCGATGCTCACCGGGCACTGAAAGGGAGGATAAATGGAGAGGCAACATTTAAAGAACTGTGACGGAGCATCTGACAAAAGGAATTTGTTGTAAAAGTCCTAAGGGAAGGGGAAATCATCAGCGCGTCAACTGCGGAACTGAAGAACCCCCGAAAGAAAAGTCGCCCGGGAAAAGCCATCCGAGGCGTGTCCGAAGTCAGCCTCGGAGGAACAAGCAGACAAGACACCAACAGCCTTTCCCAGGTGGGGAGGTTGCGCCCAGTCTTGATGTCCTCGAGCGTGAGCCTTCTCGGAAGGACTGGAGAAGCCACCCTGAGCATCATTACTGGCTCCGCATGCGGCGCTGTCAGGGCCTGTCTCTGGCCGCTGCGGACCCGGATCTGAGGCGCATTGACCATGGCCGTGAGTGTCATCGGTTGAGTCTGAGCCCCCTCGGAGTCTTCGACCGGCTGCGTTCTTGATCTGTAACACCGCACACCGGCAACCACCAAATCGAACTTCAACATAAGCACAGCGCTCCCTCCGCCGGGATGTCAAAAGCATCACGAAAGTCCACTTCTGGGGCTGTCCCGCTCTGGACGTGTTGCATGGGACGCGTCGACAGGGATGAGACCCCAGATGTCCAATCATATTGCCTCCTGTGTCGAGATTTCAACGTATCACGAGAATCCACCTTTAGGGCTGACCCCTTCAGGGATTCGCGTGCAGTCAACCAATCCCACCTTTTCCGTCGTCGAGATGTCAAAGTATCACGAAGGTCCACATCTAGGGCTGCCCCGCCTTGCTACACCTGGTTGGTACGCGTCGACAGGAGTGGACACGAGAACAGGAGAGTCGGATCTTGTCAGATCGTTTGATCACGGTGCTGCTGGGGATGCGCGCAGGTCTCAATTTCCTGTCGGTTTTCAATGGAGTAGGAGGTGTTGGAGGGGACTCTCTGCCAGCGGAATCGAGGTCTGGTGTATCTGACCGTCAGCCATCGCTCGAGGATTCATTCTTATGCCACTTGCCGACCGAATCCGCTGTTTCTAATATAAAACCTTGGTCTCTGCACCTGGTGGAAGGCTTTAATCTTGCAAGACGGAGAGGGAAAGGGGCGGACGCGGCGTGCTATTCCTCCTCCTACGTGAATGCAACGCTATCCTCAAAATGCGGTAGACGGCTGATCTGCGCTGCGACTGACTGAAATATGGTGACTTCGCGCGGCTGCCTGCAACTTCTAACACAGTGACAGACCAACTGGTTGTAACTCGGGCGGGTGGAAACTTTGGCGATATTTGGAGAAAATTGTGAAGGGATGGTGAACCCTGCGAGTAACTGTGCAAGCTATTCGGATTCGACGCCCGAGGCTCGAATTAACTCGGGAACACTTAATAAGCTTGTGACTGTAGGAATCCCTGGTCAGGTATGACGAGATTTTCAGCTAGATGGCACCCCTTAAGGCGATGGCTGGTGAGGCAGAGAGGTTCGTCTGGTGATAGTTGAGACAAATGCGAGTCGAATAAATAAACCTGGTATAGTCGATGAGTTGGTAGGCAAGCTGAAGGGAGCACCGGGGGGGGGAAATGGAGCATGTTGAGAGATTATGAGCAGACTCGCTATGGAACATAGGTGGAGGTTAGGCAGGGAACGGGGAATATGATAGCTTGTAAATACTGTTCTGACGCGTGTGTTGCAGATCAAATCAGCAATCCTAGCCATATTCACGAACTCGCACATGTCCTTCTTGGCTTGGCGTAGATATATGCACATTATGTAGAACTGCAACCCTTCTTGCACGGATTAACCAGATGGACATGTAGTCTAGTCTGACGCCGGACTTACCTGACTCATTTTGAGTCAATCAGAACCTCATCAACCGCCTTTGCTCCCGGGATAGAGAGAATCCTGGTTCAAAGACGTGTGAATAAAAAGGGTCTATAGCGCGGCCAATTCTCCCAAGGCAATATCACTTCCCTGCTACATTCCACGCGACCTGGGGTCACCTGGTAAAATCCCATTTTGCCTCACAAACGTGATACACGACTCGCCATGCTGTGTGACTGGACACTACATAGTATACTTATGATATAAACAAGAGGTCAAAAGGGACGTACTCATCAACTGGCATTCCTGCTGCGGAAGTGGTGGCTCCACGCGGCGCCAATCACACTCCATCGTGTGGGTGAAACAAGCCTACGTAGAACTATGAGAATGAAGTCGAAGAATACAAACGCTGGCTGATCTAGACAGGCAGGGATTCCAGAAATTCCTGATGGTGAAAGTTAGCTTAGGGGTCTGAGGATCTGGTCAGGCCACGGTGTTTGTTATCGAAGGCATGCTTGTTCGCCACCAAACACGGGACCTATATTCTCCATATTCGCAGCCATGGGTCTTTGGTCTACGCGCCTTGCAGCAGCTGGCGGCCCTGTACAGAAACCTGACGATTCTCACCACACAGCTTCCAGCGCTCCTGGACGCCTTATTCAAGCCACTTGACAGAATTACGTATGGATGCGAGGATGCCGACGCTTTGCATGCAATCAAAAGGGAAGTGCTCGGAAATACTTGTGGCTTCGGTCGCGTGATTTCGCCCTTTTCGCGGGACAGCAAGCATGACGAAAGACCTGATGAGCAAAAGACCACTCACAGCTAGAAACTCGAGCAGCGTCTCTACACGTCAGTGACTATGTTGGCCTCCACTCTCCGCGCGATCCAGGCCTGAGAGATTGCGTCAAGCCGTGCATGACGGGTGCCAAGTGGAGGGTATGGTGTGGATGCTACACTACAGACACTGCAGGCGGATGTATACAGTCGAGTCAACCTTCCTGTGGCCGTCATAGCTAGGTCAACGCAGACACAAGCTTGCGCTTCAGTCTGTGATTAAGACATGGGAAAGGAATGATCAGTCCATAGTAAAATGGCCACGAGGACGACCTGGAATTGAACAAGCCATCCCGAATGTCCAATTCCGTCGCGCTGTCTTCAAGAATGATGGCTTCGAAGTTATCAATTATCATCCAAGGTTCATCTGTGACGATGAATTACCTCAACGAGGTGCCAGAGAATGAGACAACAGGGAGGCATTGGAACACAGGGTGTCAAACCTTGTCGGGGAGAAGGGGAATGTGGAGCATGGAATTTTCTTGACACTCTCACCAATAACGGCGGATGGAGACTTCCGGAGATTAAATCCCGAAGAAAGGTGAGACAGCAAGGAAAGGTCTGAATTAGTCTGAGTTGAAATCCAGTTCCCACTCCGGCTAGGCCGCAGGCTATGGAATGTCATGTCATTCTTGCTGCAGAATCCCCGACATTTGACTGCCCAGCCTAACTTGCACAATTCACCCACTTTCCCAAGTGCCTTGATCGTAGAAAGGACTCGCCGCCTATGCTGCCGGAACTGTTGCGCCTAGTGCAATAACACTGATGCAGTCAAGTATACTCATGCATCAACCTGCACTGGCTACTGCACAACATGAGAAAAGACCATAGCAATGCCTGTCGCAGTTTTGATGCATACTAGATGACTGGACGTCATTCCAAGATCACTATCCGTTCAGCTTATGACCTCATGCATGACTCGCGCAATGGATGCATGCATCTAGCGCCGCAAACAGAGACGCTTCTGGTTGCTTCTGGGCTAGAAACTTTTACCACTTCCATGCGATTTTTCTGTGGAAGCGGTGGCAAGGATGAAGTCTGGCACCGGGATCGGATATGCTACATCCGCTCACAGGATTGAGGCTAGAACCTACCTGTCCCATGTTAACGAGTTTGACCGGCAGTGACAGGACATGTCTCTCGCTGTCTTGGCCGGGCCGAGCTGGCGGGCAGCGCATTGATAATTGTGAGGCTCTGTCATGGACTACCTGGATATTTGTCCTTGGAAGTAAGATCATGTTGCGATTGCAGATTTCCCAAGACTTTGACAATACATCGCTATCATGACGGGCCCATCGACGACAAAAGAGGATGAGGAAGGCGGGGCTGGATCTGAGCCCTATCTCCATCTCAGTAGATCGCTGCGCTTCTCGAGTCTAGATGAATATCAGTACTGGCACCACCACGGCCCCATGTTGGGGAAGCTACTATTCGACGGCAATTACAGTGTGCACCGACAGTATGAGTATCTCTGCCTCTTCGCCTACCTAATCGTTCCTTCTTTGGGCCCCTTCCCTAGCCCAGGCCGCGAGCTCTTTCAATGCATCCTAGGCAGCACTGGGCCCTTTGAACTGAGCCAGAATTTCACCAAGACCCGTTCAACCACGCGCATTGCATTCGAGCCGACCAGCCACAGGGCCACTACAGGTCAAGATCCATTCAACCGCGCTCTGCTACCCTGCGCTCTGCACGACCTAAAGGCCACCGGCGCCGCGATCAACTTAGACTTACACCATGCCCTCCTCGAGCGTCTGACACTCAGCGACAGCGACATTGCACACCTACCTCCCACCGAAATCGCAAACCTACCCTTCAAGACACAGACAATTCTTGCCCTCGACCTGGACCCAGCCGGAGTCTCCGTCAAGGAGTACTTCTACCCAACACTCAAGGCCCAAGTCACAGCTCAGTCGGCGACGAAGCTATGTCTGGATGTCATCCGCACCATCGACGCCGAGCAACTCTTCGCGCAGGGGTGCGACGCCCTCCAGGAATACCTGCAACAGCCGGAACAAAAGACGGACATCTTCCTCGTGTCCTGCGACCTAGTCGACCCGCATCGCACACGGCTGAAGTTCTACCTCGCCGAATTCGACGTCCGCTTCGACCGTGTCATCGAGCACTGGACAATGGGTGGCCGGCTGGCGAAGGAGGATCCAGATATCACTGAGGGCCTGTCAATGCTAGAGGAGCTCTGGCGTGCTCTAGATATTGTGGAGGGCCCTCGCGCTTATCCCACCCGGCCCTCGCAGCCCGGTGATCCTCCCACGTACTTGCCTTTGATGCTCAATTACGAGATCCATCCTGGCCGTTGCGCCCCGATCCCCAAATTCTACTTCCCCATCTCCGGGATTCCGGATACCAAGGTCGCGGCTGTGCTGACGGATTTCTTTGAACGCCATGACATGTCAGATCAAGCCGCTGTCTATGCTGCGAACTTGCAGAACTACTTGTGAGTTTATCATCTCCTTCAAGAGGGCTAAAGGACTCAGGAGCGCAGTGGAAACTGACTGGGATCCTAGTGCGGGGGAGAACCTGGACGAGACCACGCATCACCAAGCGTGGTTGTCTTTTTCGTACGCTAGGAGCAAGGGCCCGTATCTTACTGTGTATTATCATTGAAATGAAATGTATCTATGCAGAGAGAAAATATTCGTTAGTCGTGGAAAATGAATACTCGATAAAATATGATCTGTGCTTGGGAAAGAATATGATTGCAGTGAATCCATGTTCCAAAGTTCAGGGCCCAAAAAGCCGCTCTGCTGGTGGCAGCATTATGTCTTAGACGATATCTACAAAACTAACACTCCAGGATCATGATGAAAATGGTTTGCCATGCATGCTCCATGTGTGGACAAAACTGTGGTTGCGGTGGCTGGGTGATCGGCGGAAAAAGGTTGGGCCAAATATACTTCTGGGCCTTGGCCCACCGCGAGCGTCTGACAGCGATTTGGCAGCTCCATGACACTTGAAAGGATCATACCAACTACCTATTGAGCATGCGCCATCCAGCCATGTCTATGCACAGTACATTCTTCTGGTCTTGACGGCCGATTGTTCCGCCCAATGGGAGTGACGCGGCGGGAAATGCCAGGGCCCGGGATTCAGGTTTGCTCACATTCTTTCCCTGCTTTTCTTCTCATTCTCCTACTTCACTTCTGCACTTTTTGTCTCGGTGTGCTATCCGTTATACGGTCTTTACCTTGGTATATGCCTCCCCGGCAGGAAGATTTGAATGGAAAAAATCGGTACTCGTAGTGTACAATGCTTTTGATTATTTACCGCACAACGTTACCTACAGAAGTGACTCCTATCCCTTGCTCAGTCTGCCCAGAACCCTAACATTAGATTATGCGGGACTCAACCCACACCCCGCCTCCTGGGTCTTCCACTTTCCCTGTTATATTTGTTGCCCCGCAAAAAAAGAAAGAAAAGAAAAAGAAAGAAAAGAAAAGAAAAGAAAAGAAAAGAAAAGAAAAGGGAAAGGTAAGGAAAAAGCAAAAAGACCAGCAGAATTCTTCTGTCTTCAACATGTCCTTTCTCAGTTCTTCAAGGGTTCACAGCCAATTCCGCGGGCAATACTCCTTGCAATAGGCGTCATGCCTGGTTGGCCGTAAAACTCGCGAAGCAACTGCATCGCCCGCCCGCGGGGCTGAATGTCCGCGCAATCGTGCAACTCCCCGGGCATCGGGCGTGGAATCAACGGGTTTTCGGGCTGTAGCTGCTCCAGAATGGTGAGGACATCTGTCCAGTTGGCCGACTCACCAAAGGCGAACAAGCGTTCCGAGGCTACTGTCGGCTCGAGCAAAGCAATCACAAACAGCCGGGCGATATCTTCGACGTCGACAAACCACTCTGGGACGAGTCAGTTGGTGGACAACTATTCAATCCAAAAAGAAGAGGGCCTGAATTGAAAGGCTGAGAGGCTCACTGGGTGGAACAAGAGTCATTGGGGTACGGTCCCCGTGAAGCAGGCCGCGTACCCAGTTCATGGTCGAGCCGGGGATCTCGTCCATCAGGATCTTGCCGACCTGTTTTGCTTTAGCGAGGGAAACACACGCCAGGAATTGGAGGGACGAGAACAAACCGCAAACGCTGCGACTACAGTGTTGAACTGAAAGGCAGGTCGGTGGCAGTGCACCCATTCCCACGCCTCCCACTCACAGATCATCTTACAGGCGCTGTATACCTCGACCTGCCGTTTCTGCACCCCTCGGGGCGCAGCGTCATGTAGTTGCGTCTTGAGGTTCCAAGAGGGCGATAAGGCTTTGAGAACAGCGGACACATTCCAGGTATCTGATTCGGGTGGGAATTCAGGTGAATGCCAAACAGCCATTTCGTTCAATTTTATGCTTACCTTGGTCGACCACCATGCCTTGCTGTCCAGGGTTTGGAGTATACGACGCCATTGACGAGGAGATGAGCACCACCCTACGCACGGATGATACTTGTGACGCCGCCTGTAAGACGCTCAAGGTTGCTTGTCGGGACCAAGGAACCACCTCATTGATGTCAGTTCCTAGTGTGAAGTCGGAGACCTACACGAAGTCACAGACATTAGAGACATAGGGCTGTAGATTGGGAAAGGAGAAGCAGTACGAGTGAAAAATGAACGATGACATGGAAAGTGTGGACCGTGTCCGCAGGGAGAGAAAGAGATTGGTCACCAGGTGTACGACCCCATCCGCGCCGGTCAGTATAGCTTCGATGGCCTCGGGATCACGAAAGTCCGGCACGAGAACTGTGTGAAAGCTGTTTGGCCCGAACTCTCTCTCGTAAAAGGCATTTAGCCAAGGTTTAGGGCTGCGAACGGTGCCGCGCACGCGGTACCCCAATTTGAGCAGTTCATTACTGGTGTGTGACGCCAGGTAGCCGTTGGCTCCCGTCACGACGACTGTAGATCCAGCAGGGAGAGCGAGGTTCATCTCAGGGAAAGTAAATCTGTGTTCTTTCTGTATGAACATTTCAATGATCATTCAAAACGCGGCTCTAGGTCAATGATAATCTGGGGGCATTTTATTGTTGATGATTATGGCTCGGCAAGTGGGAAAGCAGATTCCCGATGACAAGCTCACCGGATCTGGACCCACAAAGCTTAGATGGGCAGCAGAGATCTGGTTTGGTGTCAATCTGTCGTAATCCCGAGTGCTTCTAGCTCGCTGTGTGTCGGTCTAGATTCTTTGGATGAGGAGGGTCGGACATGCCGAAAGACCATGCCGTTCAGAAGACATATAACGTAATCGACCATTACAATGCCATGACAGAGGATATGACACATGACTCAAGCGCCGGCGACAGCGATGGGTCGGTGACCTGACCATGGCGCTGGACCCCGGTGGGTGGGCTCGTTCTCGATTGCCTGTTCTTGACGTCTTTTGACCCTAGAATCGACACTGCATCTTGGCCCCCGCTCCTCTGCCGATCTTTGTATCTTCTGGGCAAACTACGAAATAATATATAAATGCATGATTGAAGATTCAAGAATCAAAGCAAAGCGACTCATAAAACTCTGTTGCCATGGTGCTTGCCGAGCAAGACACTGTTTTAGGTCTTTTCGCTGGGCCAGTGATTTGCTGGCCCGACCATATCGCGGTAGACGATGGGCGCAAGGGCTCGAGGACATACCGACAACTGGACAAAGAGTCCACCGACCTGGCAGCGTCCTTGAAGGCCAACGGAGTGAGACCAGGCCACATAGTGCCTATCGTTACCACCACCTGCATACAGATGGTGGTAGGGATCCTTGGCATTATGAAAGCGGGCGCTGTGTATGTCCCCATCGACCGAGAACGATGTCCCCGTCACCGCATAGAGTATGTGATAAACAAAAGCCAAGCCAAGATCGTGCTATATACGGGAACTGAGTTCTCCGCCGGTCAGGCAAGAGCAATTCGCCTACCGATGGCTTCGGTCTCTCCTGATTATAACGACCAGGTAGCCAATCGCATCGACGATGTTCTCGCTATCATATTCACTTCTGGGACAACGAATAAACCCAAAGGTGTCCGGGTCAGAAGCAGCTCAGTAGCGCGCTTTGTGACTTCTCCAGGGTTTAACTACGATGTTACGCCGGCTGATCGGGTCTTGCTGGTCTTATCCGTTGGCTTTGATGGTACGTATCTTGCGATTTTCCATCGACCGATTTCGATCATCACGGCTTATCATGCTGACGGTGAATTTCACAGCGTGCATGGGGACCATGTTCAACACCCTGTGCAATGGGGGTACGTTAGTCCTGGCCGACTCGGATTCTCTGGCAGACCGCGCAAGAGAAAGCAGCATCATCATTGCCACCCCTTCGATCTTGGCGGCGCTCGGGCCCCCTACCCCCGCGAAGTATTCGAAATTGAGGCGCATTGTCTTGGGGGGTGAGACTGCCTCAGAACATCTGCTTGACCTATGGGATAGCATACACGTACCGATCTGGATTGCCTATGGGCCGACAGAGGCCACCTGCGCCGTCTTGACTCAGAGATTACAGCGTGACCCACAAACGGGACGGTTCTCGCCCACGCGACTCGGGCATCCGATTCCAGGATCCACGATTATGCTCTTAAACCCAACAGATGATAGCCTCATTACTGAGCTCAAGACGCCAGGGGAGATCGGGATTGCAGGACCCTGTCTCTCGGCCGGCTACCTCGACGACGCGATTCAAACCAGCGAGAAGTTCATTCATCTCGGTGGCCATACAACATACCGCACTGGGGACATAGCAGAGTGGGTAGAGAACATGGATGGCACTCGTATTCTGCAATTCCATGGGCGTGAAGATCGCCTGATCAAAAACCGGGGGTTCCTAGTCAACTTAGACCAGGACGTCGATCAGGGGATCATCCGATCGTGTCCCTCGGTGCAAGCGGCTTATTCACTGAAGCTCAATGGAATGCTCTGTACAGCCATCGTCAGCCCGCACCTGGATACTGGAGAAGTTCTGACCACCTGGAAGTCAGCGGCCCTGCCCTACGCCGTTCCCGACCACTTCATTCGGCTGCCCAAGCTGCCCTTGAGTTCCAACGGCAAAGTGGATCCGCATCAACTCTCATCCATTATGGAGAAGAGGCTTCAAAAACCCCGGAAAGCCCAGAGATCAAAGACTTCATTCTCCCAATTGAACCAGACGCCAAAGCAAATTGTCCTGGCCTGGTTCCAGGATGAGATGAAGGTTCCTTCCACTGAGATTGACTTGAATGCTTCGTGTATGTCAATGGGAGTCAGTTCGCTCGCTGCAGTCAACCTATCCTCCTTCTGCGGGCAGGCTGGTTATGCAATCTCCGTAGCTGATATTCTGGAAGCACCGTCACTCAAGCAGGTGTTTGCCCGATGTAGAGCGCCACCAACCGCGCCGAGTAGCAAGTTCTCCAGCGAGCACACAGGTCTCGTGACGCATTCAACCCTTAGCCCTCTACAGCACAAGATGGTATTGGAGACAAAGGTTGACCCCCGAGTGAATTATGCACAACACATTTCCTACTATCGCACCCAGGATATCAGGCGCATCAAGAAGGCATGGGAGACTGTGACGCGCGCAGAGCCGATTTTTTGGACGGTCTTCACAGAAAGTGAATCCGATATTATTCAACAGGTGGTAACGGAGAGCCAATTTCACTGGGAGGAACAGGCAGTTCGCACCTCACAGCAAGTCAAGAAACTTCAGGATGAGATTATCAGACGAACCGCTCTAGGTATGTCCGTTTTGGTACTACGCCACGAAGGGATCGAGCTGCCACGCGGTGAAAGCATGGTAGTGTGGACCACTCATCGTGCTCTGTTGGATGGATTCTCAAGTCTCCTATTGTTGAAGAAGCTGGATCTGGCATTTCAAGGACACGGAATCAAACCCTCTATTCCTTTTGCGCAAACAGGAAAAGATCTGTACCAGCTCCGAGAACGGACAAAGAATGAGGCATCGAGGTTCTGGGAAGATCGTCAAAAGGAGCTGTTAGAGTCCAAAGGCGAATTCAATATTCCTGATACAGTGTCCCAGGATAGGCGTGGCCCGGTGAATATCGAGTATGTTCACCCGGAACCTGTGGACCGAGTGCAACTGAACCAGAGGGCAAAACGATTGGAGGTAACCTCGGCCTCGATTCTACACGCCGCTTGGGCCTTGCTGGTCTCACTGTACTCTAATTCCAGCCAGGTGATGTTTGGGATGGTTCTCTCGGGCCGGGACTTGCCTTTCACCTGGGCCCCGTCTGTGATCGGCCCTTTAATTAATCAGCTGCCTTACAATTGCGCAATCAAAAGACAAATGGCCGTGTCTACCTTCGTCCAGCGCGTTCATAAGGACATTCGAGACTACGCGCGATTTCAGCTTTTTGAGAGCCCCGTGGGCACCCCGCCGATTACCACCATGCTCGTGGTGCAGGACAACGACATGCGCAGGCCATCAGTGATCCTGCCCCCATTGCGTGAACCACGCATGAGAGAAACTACCAGCCTTCCCCTTGTCATGGAGGTGCAAAGCGCAGGCGGGATGCGCCTTGTGTACCGTAGTGATCGGTTCACTGCTCCAACAATACAGGACGTGGCGGCTATCTTTCGAAACATCGTTCACCTTCTTACCAGCACCGATGACCGTCTCACTGTAGGGCATTGCCTTCACCACAGCCTTCCATCGCCCATGCATCACACTCTCCTGCAGCTGGGTAATACCGATCGACCAGAATCACGAGTGACCAACGCTGGACCGACACTCGGCAGCATATTCCGGAACACAGTGAGTCAATATCCCGACCTCATCGCTGTAACAAAGGACACAATTTCCATAACCTATCGCCAACTACTCGACTCGGCTCAGCGCGTGGCTTCTGCCGTCCTTTCACACGCGCGCCCAGGAGATGCCATTGCCGTGATTGCTGATCGATCCATCAACTGGATTATCGGAGTTTGGGCTGCTGTGCTGGCTAACACGGCCTATTGCCCGATTGATGCTTCATTTTCAATCGACTATCAGGTATCATTGGTAATGCAAAGCCGTGCCCCTCTAGTGTTATTTCCATCGTCAGAGCAACGCAGACGAGGGCGATTCCAAGGCGTGACAGCTGTTGCAACTGAGGAAGTTCTACAGACCGCCAAAATCCCCATTATGAGATCGAGGCCGACACAAAAACCAAGTGATGTGGCATACGTCTGTTTTACCTCTGGGTCGACTGGGGTTCCCAAAGGTGTGTTTCCTCGAGGATTCTCCCCAGAAGCTCGCTTTTCGTCTAATGTTCTCATTGCAAACAGGTGTAAAGTGTCTTCACCGGGGATTAGTGGCCCTTCAATCCCGCGAGGAATATCGGGTCTTCAGCCGACCGGGACGTCGGATTGCCCAGTTTCTCTCTCCTGGCTTTGGAGGTTGCGTATTCGAGGTCTTTGGTACTTTGTGTTATGGAGCCACTTTGGTGCTACGAGCAAAGGACGATGACATGTTGTCACATCTGGGCCAGGTGGACGCCACCATTCTTACCCCATCCGTTGCCGCCGAAATGGTTCCCTGGCACTTTCCTAACATCAAATTTGTGAGTGGGACATCTACTCTCCTCTCCTGGTTCTTTACATGACATTGCTGACACCACATGGCTGGTAGGTCTATTTTGCCGGCGAACCGGCCACAGAGCCCATTGTCGCCCGCTGGTGGTCCCCAGAGCGGCAGCTGTACAATGCTTACGGCTCTACCGAGGTAGATATCTTCCTTCTTTTGCCATTGCTCTTTTTATTGACGACGAAATTTGCTAGGCTACGGTAATGAATACCCTAGGCCGACTGGCCCCCGATTTGCCAATATGCTTGGGCAGTCCAGTCCCGTCCTCTCGGCTGTATATATTGAACGATGACGGGGATCTTGTTCCACCGAATACGGTCGGACACATCCACATTGCGGGTGTGCAGGTGAGTGATGGATACATCAATACGACATTGCCAAAACAGAATGAATTCCAGCAAGATCCTTTTGTCGATGGGCACGAAAGAATGTATCGCACCGGAGATTTGGGCCACTTTGACCACGAGGGCAATCTTTGGTACTGCAGCCGCAAAGACCGCCAGGTGAAGGTCCGCGGATATCGAGTGAACCTGGACGACATCACGCATGCAGTCTACCGCCTGGTGCCCACAGTCCGCAAAGCCGTGGCGGTTCTGCGTGAAGATAGTACAATCGTGCTCGTTGTATGCCCGGGTAGGGTGGATGAGGCCGGTATTCGTGAAGCCTTGCGCACCTCCCTACCGCCTCATTATCAGCCCTCTCAGATACAGATACTGGATAAAATGCCGACGACGAAAAATGGGAAGATGGATCTACAAGCGCTGAAGAAGGTCAACCCCAGGAGAGACTCCGGGTCGAAACCGGACACGCGAATCCACGCACTCAATGGAACGGCAAGAGCTATAGCTGAAGCCTGGAAACGCATTCTAAGCCTCGAGCCCTCCGCTAATATAAACGGAGAAGATGATTTCTTTAAACTCGGCGGAGACTCAATATCAATGCTCAAGCTGGCACGCGAGCTGAACGACACCTTTCAGATTCGGGTGACGGTGCGGGATGTCGTGTTGCGGTCTGTCCTGCGGGATCTTGCGGCCTTGATCGATGCCCTCCCCAAAGCTTCACTCAGCCCAGAGGAGGCCCAAGGGAAGAACACCAGGCGCCTAGGAACCACCGGGTTGTCTCCTCCAGAGACATTGTGGGTGCACTACTACACCACCTCTGAATGTCAAAGCGCGTTCAATGTTCCATTCTATGCTAGCCTTTCGCCACGCGTTGATCTCCACAGGCTCGCCTCGAGCGTGGAGGAGACACTAAATCGACACCGCATCTTGCGGACTCGCATCAAGAGGACTCGTAACGGGAACATGCGCACCATCTCGGACCAGCCCATCGAGGTGGCATATGAGACGACCATCGATATAGGGGAATGGATCAGTGAGCCGTTCCAACTTGATCAAGGCTTGGTTCGAGCCGCCATGACCAAAGATACATTGCTTCTCAATTTCTCTCATCTACTTTGTGACAATGACACCCTGACACATCTCCTGCAGGAGATTGGGAACTTGTATCACGGTAAACGAATACCTGCTGTGAAGCGTGAATACTTCGACGAGGAACCCTGGTCCTTCCCGGTGCCACTGCCAAAAGAGTTAGAAGCCTTCTGGAGCGCCCATCTAACGGGCCTTGAGGTTCCACGTTCTCTAGCGGTGCAGCGAGCCCGTTCTTACCGTGGAGCCTCCGTGCAATCCATAATCCCCGTATCATCAGCAAAACGTCTCCGGGAGACCTGTGCGGATTGCCATGTATCGCTGCGACATTTTGCTCTAGGTGTTGTAGCGATCACTTTGCAGACACTAGCCAATACCCGAGACGTCGTACTCGGATGCCCATACATCAACCACTCCAATGAAGCAGGCGCAGACACGATCGGACTCCACCTGGAGCCGCTGCCTCTTCGCTTCAGGGTGGCAGATTCCTCAGAGTCAACACAGACAGTTGAACATCTACTGCGGGCGGTGGAAACGACAGCGCAGTCCGCCGTAGCGCATGCGGTCCCGTGGCATGCGTTGCTAGCGCTGTTGGGACTCCCATTTCCCTCCACTCACGAAGCCGTTTTTGACTGCGCCGTCACCTTTCGAGAGGAGCGCAGTGTTGAGGATGGCCAGCAGCTCCCGGACATCGATGGATTGGTGCCTCACCCAGTCTCGCCCGATGGCGCGATCTTTGCTCTCCTGTTCGAGTGGCGTTTCACGGCCGATGAGCAGGGGGTGTCGCTGCGGCTGGGCTATAACACGGATCTTCTGACTCATCCTTTGATGGATGCACTGGTCCAGGTGCTATGCGTCGCTCTGGATAACATGCTTGATCTCAATCTGACGCAGACGCGGTTGCGACACGTGCTACGACAAGCCCTAGACGACGCTTGTCTGCGCGCGGGGGTGGAACCTCACTCGGTGCGGGATTTGGCGCGCAAAAGTTTGATCGGAGCTGTTCCGGTCGATGTCTGACCTTATTATGTCTGACTAAAGAATGTACTGTGTATTTAAGGTGATTCGAATAATTAGTTGAATTGAAATAGTTGTTTGATCTGCCATGGATGAACCAAAGTTCTCGACTTAAACCCCGAATAGCCTGGAGTGGTGATGTGATAAATGGTAGTCTGATGCTGAGCTCGATCGGACCAGTTGAGTTGGTCTACAATCTGGGCCGGCGATGCCAAGGTTTGCTCTCTAGGTTTGTGAATGATGCAAAGGCAGGTTGACTCATTTTCAAGACACAAAGTCCGAGTGGAAACTTTTGGAGAAGCTAGTGTGGATCAGGGAATTCAACGATCGGGCGGATGCCAAGACCACAACCAGGCAGCGGCGGGACTTGCTGCCTACGGCCACCAACAACCATAAATATATGCAGAGCCTCCACACCCCACAGGGCATCACATACACACAAACATCAACAACCTCACAATGACCAGCACCAACCTCGCGTCTCTCCCGCTGGAGATCATTCACCGCGTGCTTTATTTCATGGATCTATCCTCGCTTTGCGAACTTGCCCTCACCAATCGCCGCCTGAGTGCAATCAGTCAAAGGGAGCTGCTGAAGGTGGTGACCGTGTACCCCCGGAAAGAGAGTCGAGAAAGATTTCAGGAGATCCTCGAAGACAGGACTCGGGCACGACTGGTGCACAGGTTATACCTGGATGTCAGCGCTTGGGCCGGCGTAGATTCTCCTCCTCTCTCATGCACACTGAACCCTGTACTCATCGACACAGTATTTCACACAAGCACGCTATGTCAATCAAAGCAACCGCGATAAGGAGATCCTCCAGTTGCGCAGATTCATGAAGCTCGTCCCGCGCTTGAAGGAACTCCCCTCTCTACGAAGCATCGTGCTTCGCTTTCATCCGGGCTGTTATGTCGAAGATACCTGGGATGACTACTTTCAGAGTGCCGAGTTCCGCTCCTGTGTAATGACTGAGTTTCTCTTGGCGGTGGCGTCCCTCGACGAGCCCGTCAAAGAGTTGGCCCTGTGCAACTTCCAGAACATCAACCCGACGGACCCCACGGTGGTCTTGAATCTCACCCAGATTTTGGGCAGTCTGCGCGCACTGCGGCTGAATATCGCGAATGAACACGACGAAGGCAACGGCGAAAACGATCTTGAGGTGGGACGCTCTCATTTTTCATTCTCCTTAGCTTTTCGCATCTCCCAGTCTCCTGACCAAGTTCTAGCAAGACGATCCGCACAAATTCTTCCCCGAACTTCCCTCCTTCTGGCTGACCCCGGCGGCCGCGACCCTCGAACACCTCACCATCTACTCCAGCAATTACTTCGGCTTCTACCCCAAGCTGGATCTACGAGGGGTTCACCTCCCGCGCCTCAAGACACTGGCCCTGGGCAAGTACGCCTTTGTCCACGACTCCCAGCTCCAATGGATCCTCTCGCACGGCGAGACCCTAACCGAGCTCTACCTCGACAAAACCCCCATCCTCTTCGAGGTCTCCGTCTACAACAAAGACCGGGCCTTTCTGGACTCTGGCCGATACACCCACAAACCCGGGCTACGCGAGAAACACTTCGCGACGTACGACAAGCGCTGGCACCACTACTTTCGGGCTTTTCAGGCGGGGCTCCCGCACCTGCGCCATTTCCGCTACGGGCGCTCGGAACCGTGTGGGGAGGATGACATGACGCCCCTGGAGCGCGAGACGGAGATTACGGTTGGGATGCATGACGACAGTTACATGGTCTTCTGCGACGGCTTCGGGCCGACGCCGTATATGCATACCACGATCTATGACAGCGATGACGAGGAGCCATCCTATAATGGTGATGGAGTGGATTGCGTGGGAGAAGATCAGCAGGCGTTGGTGGGGTTGCTGGGGAAGATTGGGCAGCCGTTGGAGGTGGAGGATTAGAGGCCCCGCCGAGGTGGTAGAACGTCTGGACGATGTATATGAAGCGTAGAAAGGATGTTCTCGCTGCTCTTTGCATTGGGGAAGCCCAAATGGCATTCTTCCCATCCCAGAAAGAGAACACATAAAGAAAGAGAAAACGGAACGAAAGCAACACGCCGGGGATGCCGCTTTTTAGTCCGTCCAAAGTGACCTGCTGTAGGCCGGACGTTTCTATAGTCAACATTCGAGAACCCATTGATAAAGGGCCTTGGTGCCTGGGGTGCCGAGAAGAGAGCCAGCACGTGCTTTGAAAAACTTAGCCCCGAGATATGATGCCTCAGGCGAATCGACCCATACCTTTGCCCTCCGCTTCGCCTATCACGTGTATGTCTATGTCTTGTGAGCTATCTAGAACTGATTGAGAAGGTGACTGCAAAGATGACTTTTCAGAAGTTATCGCAGTGCGCGTGTAATGGGCAAAACCTCGTGGCATGCCGGCCGTAGCATGCAGTAGCAGCGCATACCGACGGCCAGATGCTCCCTATAGAGAAGATGAGGGATGGCTATGGTGGTTGACACACGACTATATCATACTCATAACAAAGCTAATCAAGACTCACATTTGAAGGATCTTTCAAATGCCGGACTTTCCGCCAGGGCTCGGCGGAGTGGGTCTCGGGCGCAACTGATTAACCCGAGAGAAATTCTCTATATCCGTGTCCCAATAAACCCGCGACAGGAATCCACATTACGAATCATCCTTTGGCCTGTTCCCACCTCAGCGTTCGGAAATCCGGATGTATTCAAACGCCGCGGTCTCGATGTCGGCATGCCGACCACCCCCTGAGACTATATGATCTGCGCTATGGTTCTCGGGATGTTCACTCGGCAATGGGCTGAGACGAGCATATATCTGTTAAGACCATGTGAGAACCTGCGTAAGCTGTATAACAAATATCGACCATGGCTGACCTCCAACGCACCACCGGGCGAGCGCTGGTATCTTATGGTCCGTACAAAGATGGAGGCTGGAAGCTCCGCAACGTTGTTCTGCGACCCATCCGCGACCACGAGCTACTGATTGAGATCATTGCCTCGGGCATCTGTCAGACTGACCTGCATTTCGCCGGGTTAGAAAGTGGCCCTGGCGTGCATTATCCGCGGGTGATGGGTCACGAAGGTATTTGCCGTCATTCCCCTGCCGTTGTCGCTCTTCAAGGCATATTTAAACCACGATCCTGACAGACTGTCTTTCCTTCCAGGCGCGGGATACGTGAGACAGGTCGGACACGGGGTCACCACCGCGCGCGTCGGCGACCCAGTTCTCATGTCCTTCTCCTCCTGCCAGACGTGCCGCTGCTGTCGCCGCGGCCACCCGGCCCATTGCTACAATTTCGACCGCATTAACTTCGAGTCAACGTCCACGGACCGCGTGTTCTGGGAGGAAGGAGCAGCAACACCACACACCAGCGAACCAGAAATCCTCGGCCGATTCTTCGGACAATCGAGTTTCGCTAGCTGGACGATCGTGCAGGAGTCCGCGGTGATCAATGTGGCGGGCATGGTCGAGAAGAAGGAAGAACTGCAACTGCTGGCCCCATTGGGTTGCGGGATCCAGACGGGGGCAGGAGCGGTTCTCAATGCGGCGGGCGCACGGCGAGAGGATACGATAGCGGTGCTTGGGCTGGGAGGGGTGGGCTTGAGCGCTGTGATGGGCGCGCGCATCGCGGGGTGTCAGACGATCATCGGGATCGCACGCAACGAGGCCCGCCTCAAGCTGGCCCTCGAGCTGGGAGCAACGCATGTGGTTCGGATCGACCCCGATGCGGATCTCAGCCTCGTCACACAGGCGGTTCGTGCGCTCACTGGTGGCACGGGAGTCGATGTCACCCTGGAGACTACCGGGGTGCCGGAGCTTGTGGCCGAGGCGGTGCGCATGACGGCTAACAAGGGCAAGATCGTGCAGCTGGGGACGGCGCCCGAAACGGCGACGCTCAATCTCCCCATCCATGAGTTTATGGTGGCAGGAAAGGTGTTCATGGGTGTCGTGGAGGGGGATGTGGTGCACCGGGAGTTCGTGCCGAAGATGATCGAGTGGGTGAAGTCGGGTCTGTTACCCTTGCATAAGATCGTTGGATTTTATCCAGCGGAGAACTTCGAGGAGGCGGTCCGCAATGTGAAGAGTGGAAGGACAATCAAGCCGATTCTTCTGTGGTAGATAGGACAATTTATAGCAGAGTTGATGCTCAGAGTCTCCAAAACAGGGCGTGTTTGTTCGGGCTAGCTTGGATCACTTACCATGCAGTCGCCCCGATGCCGTTTTCCTGTAATTATACGTCGATCAATGGTGATGGAATCTAGTTCCAACATAACTTGAAATTGCTACTTGAGCCTTTGTGGACCTAACCTTCGCGGAACGGCTCATGCATGCCAATTACTGCAAAGACCAAGGTTTGTGTATGCCCGTTGTGGCTGGCAGGTCAACTAGTTTTCTGGTACTTTGCTGATGTCAATGTGCCCCGAACAGTTTGTCCTTGAGTCACTCGAGGCATTGAACGTCGTTCCCGATTGCCAAGAAGTCACAGCCACCAAGAATGCAGGAGACGACGATCTGTGAGGGGTAAGTCGACCGACAACTGGCCAAAGCCCTTGCCTAGCCAATTTGTCGAACTACCATGATTTGGAATACTGGCATCCCTTGCTGAATTGATTGGGTACGGTGCATTCGGGAGAAGAATCGTCCTGAAACTAAACTCATCGTGATTTTGGAATCCGCAGTTGTGACATGTACGTAAACTTATCTTCTATGTATTGCAAAGTTTCTATTTGACGACTGCTGAAGATACTTTCCGTCTGCCATCAAGAAACCATAAATAAGACTGGCAGGATACTGTTTAATCTGCAAATAGGCTTGCAGATGAATGATCAGGGGTTCTGTACATTCCTTGTTTTGGGGCTTGCTTGAGGGTGGATGTCTATCAAGAAGCCGAAGCTAAAATCTGACATGCGTCTGTCGCAGCCCTAACCACGGGCCGGCGGCCACGATCAAGCGATCAGCCCCCGAGGCAAACATTGGGGCCAAGGTTCGCTATGCTACATGGACTCGTCTCTGTCCATTATATGACTGTACTCACCCTCTTCCTGCTGAATCTCACTCTCAATATCTCTCAATCTTCATGGTCTTTCAGTAGTAGTGCACTGGCATGGCCACCACCGAACCGCCCGCTAGCGGTGATCGTGATCGAGGTCCGGCTATCATGGCGGTCCTTTGGACTGAAGCTGCCGTGGCAGTTGCAGCCCTCGTGCTTCGACTTTATGGTCGACGCTTGGTCAAGAGCTTTGGCGCTGATGATCAGCTGATGGCATTCACAGTGGTAGGTAGGCTACGCGGATTCACGTTTACCACCATTGCCATCGCT